GGCCGGGTCGAAAACCGGACTGGAGAGGATTTAGGACCAGGTTTCTGGATAGGAAACTTGTAAGTTGAGAATGAATAAGACGTTCCAGGACCTTGGAGAGAAAGGGGAGGACGGAAATAGGGCGGTAATCAGAAAAGGATGCGAGGTTTTTCTTTTTGGGGATGGGTATAATGTCAGTATCCTATAATTGAATAGTTTAATATATGACAAATAACAGGAAGGATTACATTGAGGATTGGGAGGATCATATTACGGCTTAGACAATCAGAACCCACTGCATTCGACGTAATAAACATGATGCTCTTCCTAACATCACACTCTGCAAGTTGACTAAAGAAGAAGGGAGAACAGTCAGGAGTCGGATGAACCGTCTTCACGAGTCGGGAAATTGTTTTTGCACCAGGGACTTCCTTTCTAGGGTATACCTGGTTCCCCGGCTATTAGTACCCGGCGACGGCGTGCGGTTTTAGTCGGTTCGAGTCCGACATGCCACCGACAGGTGGTATCCGAGGGGATTTCCGCACGGAAAAAAAAAAAGGAGTCGGATGAGCCGGGAGAGCAGTCAGAAAATGATAATATCCGTAGGTACGAATAAACTATGGTGACTAATGAACTTCTTGTCATTAGTAAAATAAAACAGAAAGAAGAGGCGTGACCTTGTGGCGGCCATCGGAATGGGAATTCTTGAGCTCGATATCGAGATTGCGGCTATTGAGCGGTACCATTAGCGAGAGCGCGTGGAACACGACCGTTTCCTTCTGCGAGCAAGTTATGCTTGCGAGGGAGACAGCGAAGAGGAACCGGGAGCGATTCAGAACTCTCCCGGTCCGTTAGGTCCGGGAACGGGATATATACTGCAGACGATTCGGGCGCCTCCGTCCTGCATGAGCACAGGCTTGAGAGTAACAGGTAGGCTATCTGTTACCCTAGCAGAAGTAGGCCGTAGTGGCGGTGCGATGTGCTGTGGAGCTCCCGCGCTCTTTAGGTAGTAGAATGGAAACACCGTGGTTCCCACACAGGATAAAATCCTTATGGCCCAAAATAAGTGTTTTCAAATAACAATAGACAGATATTTCCAAATAAAATTACCTTATAGATAAAAGGAGATAATAAATTCATCAATAAGATTGATAGATAGATATAATAGTGATTGTAAAACAAAAGATAACCTAATTTACATAAAATTATGTATCATGTACCTACCTAGGTAGTTACAAGCCAATGTTATGTACAATTGGCGACCTTATCGTCATTTTGTGAACTTACGGGAGGCGGTGATTCCCTAATTATGGGGGACAAAACACATAAGAGATTTTTACAGGATGCTAACTAGTCACAAATTTAGAGGATATTAAAGCAATAAAGATATGTGTGTAAAGAAGTTTATTAGATTAACAATCTTAAACAATTTGTGTTTCCTTTAACTTGCCGAGTTATTTGATACAAAGGAAGTACACTTGAAGGACAAAGATCTTTAACAAAGACTTCTTCCTTTTAATAAAATTTTTTTTTGGAAATTCATAGATATTTTATCACGATCCTAACACATAGCTCAGTCCTTTCATAAAGGTACGCTCGTCGGTTACGGGTGTTTGAAACGAGGCTCTTCTTCAGTATACCTACTACCGATCTGGTTTTGGCCAGAAGGAAAACACCACCACAATCATGCAACCATATTCACCGGATTTGGCTCCCTGCGACTTTTTCTGTTTCCAAAACTAAAGAGACCCATGAAGAACCCAGAAGACCCATGTGACAATTAAATAGATGAAAACTTCATTAAGACAATATTACCACCAACAGCGAAGTGAAAGGTGGACATAACTTTGTGCCAAAGACATACCATTTGTCATTTAACTCCATTAAGAATATGTGTTTGTCCAATTAAACTCTGTAATGATCTTAAAAACCAAGTGTCATAGTTCAGCTGAAATGTGTGCGTTAAATTCTGCAGTTTCAAAATCCACGGTATTGTAACATCAATTAACATGTTTAGGATAATTAACCTATCCTATCAAATTACGTGGTCACAGCCACTCGGAATATTAAAAAACTTGTGCATGCATTTCTTGAAAATAATACTGGAAACAATAGATGGAAAAATAAAATATATGTTCAGTATAAAAGACCGTACAGGCAATACAAGATACTATCATGATACCCGACAAGATGACTCATTACCGGAAACACGACGGATGCTTGTATATTTTTCCAAAATAAATTTCTAATGAAGAAAATATCAGAGATATTCGCCAACCTATTACAAGTAGCACACAACAGGCGCAAGGTGTTTCAATTTCAACGCTTCCGTCTCTTCGTTTTTTGTAACAGTTTTAATCCCAATGTGTTTTTATATATTTTTGAAGAAAACCCTGCCACGAATAATCGATTTAAAATAGCGTTAATAGATTCTACAAATGCAGAATATTTCTTAAAAAATATTACTCCAGGACTACTGATTATCTTCTGCTGTAAGATATGTAATTTTAGTTTGTGTTTCTTAACATTTGTGCTGTATGCCAATTCATAGCAACGACAAATCTTATCCCTTTTGAAATATTTATTGCAGTATCCAGTTTTTGTATACAACAGGATAATTTATGAAATAATCTCGAAGTGAAGCTCTACCACCAAATTCATACTTTAACTGAATGGTATCCTCTATAGTCTCAAGGTGATCTTCATAAAACGTTCCTTTTAGAGACTTAATATGGTACACTTGGTAAGCGGTCCTAATAATAAAACAGTAGTACATCCAAAGAACAGTCATCTGCATTAAAAAATACTTTGATGGTAATTTTACTAAGTCCTGCCCCGTACAAATCCTCCATGAGTAGAAAAGAAGAATAGTCACAGATCAGAATACAATAATTACCAATCCACAACATATTGCAAACACGTTTAATGACAATTTTATAGATAAAGTTAAACCAGTTCATACCAATGTCACAAATATAACAGAATCTATAGATAATAACATCAAATCAATGTTTATGCCGCCTTGCCTTCCAAAGGACGTCGACACAATAATAAAGAATCTTAAAAACACAAATAGTGTTGGGTATGATGGTATCCACACTAAAATAATAAAATCAGTTAGCCCAATCATTTCGAAGCCTATTAGCCATATTATTAATGTAAGTATAGGTTCTGGAATATATCCAGATAAACTAAAAACGTCGGTGGTTAAACCTCTGTTCAAAAAAGGAAACAAAGAACATATGGAGTGCTATAGACCAATCACACTTATTCCTATATTCTCAAAAGTATTCGAGAAATATATTTCTAAGCAACTCTATTCCTTTCTTGAAAAATACAATCTCTTCGCAGTAGAACAAAAGGGGTTTAGACATAATAAGAGCATAAACAAGGCTATCTACGAATTCTTAAATATAATTATATCTAAAGTAGATAAGAGAATACCAGGAAGCGCCATATTTTGTGACATGACGCAAGCCTTTGATTACGTAGATCATAAAACCCTACTGGAAAAGCTTGATAGATGTGGAGTACGTGGTAATGTCAATAACCTAATAAAATCTTACCTGACGAACAGAAAACAATATACAGAGCTCAGAAAAATTAACTTTTTAAACAAAAGAGAAGAAGTATACACGTCTCACTTACGAACAATATATTACGGAGTGGGGCAAGGTAGTGTACTCGGGCCTTTACTGTTCATTCTATACATCCTGTTACTTTATTTGCGGATGACAGTACGGTAGTTATAGAATGTAACAATCGCGATTACTATGAAACGAACATTAATAATACGCTCTATAACATTATAAAATGGATGGATAAAAATAATTTAAAAATTAATTTAGGCAAAACAAATTTAATACAATTTTCACAAAGACATAATATAATTAAAGATATGAATATAACATATAATAATATTGAAATAAATGAAATTGACGCTACTAAATTCCTAGGACTGAATATTGATAATAGGCTTAATTGGAAAATACATACTGAAGAGTTATGCAAAAAAATCAGCAGTACAGCCTATGCACTTTTTAAGCTTGCACCTCTGCTCAATGAGGAAGGTATACTTAAAGCATATCATGGAATAACCGCCTCCTATCTTAGATATGGCATACTATTCTGGGGAAACTCGACAAATAAAGAAATTGTTTTCAAATCTCAAAAGCAATGCATTAGACCAATGTTCAAATTAAAATCTACAGATAGTTGTGTACCATATTTTAAAAAGTATAAAATTATGACATTGCCGTCTTTATACATTTTTGAAACAGCAGTTTTCGTAAAGTCGAACCTAGAACTGTTCGAAACATTGGCTGATACGGTTACTCGCAATAGAAGAACCCAAACCAGTAATAGGATGCGAATAAGAAAAGCAAATACAAAATTAATGCGTAAAAGTGTATTCTGTATGGCACCTGTCATCTATAATAAGATACCCGATCACATCAGAAATCTAGACATAATCCCATTTAAAAAACATCTACAAGAATGCCTATCTGAAAAATGTTATTATGATATAAGAGAATTTTTAGATGGTAAATGGGGATAATTAATTAATTAATTAAAAGAAATAATAAATAATAATAATAATAATAATAACCTCATTATCTTTATTTTTTATTTGACATTGTAATTACTTTATTGACATCAAAGTTCTAAAATTTTATACATAATTTATAAAATAGAGACATTGATTTTGCATGTTTTAAGCTCTAAGGTATGAAAAATCAAACTGAAATATTATATTGCTTTAATTGCGACAATTCAATGTAGTTCTATTTGCATGTCTTAAATTTAGCGTTTCACAAATTTTTATTTTTTTCTCTTTAATTATTGTAAGCCTAAATGGCAGAACATAGTAGATCATTCTACCACTGTAAACAACCTTTGTATACCTATGTTTCACAATAAAAATTGATTGATTGATTGATTGATTGAAAAAAAAACTAAACTCTTAGAATGGAAATTTATTTTAATATGGGTATATATGGATAACCATTTATTAGTTTTATTCAAAAACCACATAGTATTACAAAAGCGAAACTGACAATCAAAGCTATACGCGCATCTTCTTTAAGTGGATATAATAGTTTAAGAGCTGCATTCTGTAAAGTTCCTGGATGAGTAACCCAAACTACAGGCACCGTACAGTAGGGACGAGAAATTTGAAAAGTTGAAAATCTTGAAAGTGTTACTGCAGCTGAAGTCATAGATAAATTTGCTAAATCGTCATAGATATCTCCAAAAGATCCCATCCAGGTTCCGTTCTCGTCCCGAAATCCCCAACCGTCACCGCGGTGTGATATTATCATCACGAGAGTTGAATTTAAACCGTAAGCTATAATGCGAAGTAAATCTCCATTAGCACCAATAGGCGTACCGTTTAAAATGTTCATATATGGAGGCTGTATGAAAGTTGAAACAAACAATGGACATAAATTCATTTTCTTCAGTTTCTTTTCATACATGTTGCCGTAATCTGGGGTTGAGTATTGATTGCAATTTGTTACGATTAATTTTATTGGATTAACATTATTACAATTGCCTTCCGAAATTGGAAAATATGTGTAGCCAAGAGGCTGAGTTCTACCATTTTAATGAACACTACATTGACGATTTTGTAGTTCAAAAATATGTCATTATTTTATTTTCATCACAATCAAATAATTTTGAGACTGGCTTAATATTATAAATTTCCCAGTATTTTTCTTTTAATTTATCAAGTAAATGTTCCAGATCAAAAATGTCACTTCCGAATGTTACAATGTTCAATGTTCCTCTGTTGACGATTAGATTATAATTGAACAGATGCAAAAATAACTCTACACCGAATAAAGAATTGAAAAGTACAATCGTCGTATGGCGATAGTCGAAATTTTGAATAGCAAGTTTTGCAGCCTTATCACCTATTTTATTAACTTCACTGCTATTTAGAATAAAATGATTTACCGACATGTTTACTGTTAAAGGACCACAAACGTGATTACACATGCTCGTCAAGGTAAAAATTAATCGGGTCCTACAATCATATGACGTGACCCACACTATTAATGTGAGTAATCACATGCTCTTTATTGCAACATGGACTTAGCAAAAACGGCTCATTCAATATTATCAATTGTGTTAGACAAAATTTTATTAGGGTTGAACGGGTGCAATATGCAAGTGCCTGCCACTTGCTTTCACGTGCTCGCATACTGTTAGACTTCTAAGTACTTGTAATAAATCAACAATCGCGGTCTCCACTCAAGAACTCGTTTTCCCCAACGGTTTGTCGGTTCTGCGGTTGTCGGTCACCTCATTCCTGATGCGATCCCTTAGAGAAACGCCGAGCGTAAACTCTTTCCATAGTACGTTGAGCGACTTTGAACTTGTGGACCAGTCGTCGTCGTCGTCGTCGTCGACCAGCCTCTCACAGTGCAGCAGATGTGCTGCACTGTGTGGATGTGGTCTATGGTACCATATCCGCTCTAAACCCCAGCTTACTCGGTGGTTGAAATTCGTCAAGTCTTCGTGCAAGACGGTTCGTGATGACTCTCGAAAACAGCTTGTAGACGTGGCTTAGAAGGGATATGGGTCGATAGTTCTTCAAAGACAACCACACGCCTCCGGAGTTCTCCCTTCAAGCTTTTGGAGCTCCCTTAGTACCGTTTTACCTCCGGCCTTTAACAGCTCTGTTGTAACGCCATCCTCTCCAGGGGCTTTTCCATTTTTCAGATCTCCAAGAGTCATCCCGATTTCGTTAGTGCTGACTTCTGGCAGGTCTTCGGTGTAGTGACATGTTAATGTGGCTCTGGAGTCCTCCTTTTTGGGATCAGGTCGAGATGTATGCGAAGCGTATAACCGGCCATAGAAGCTTTCCACTTCCGAAAAAGCCAAATAGGTCTGTTTTGTTACATAATTATCAGCAATACTGCGCAAGTTTTTAAAAATGTCTATGAGTTTGCGTACTCTCATACATAAAAACTCTGTGTTTGTGAAGATTTAAATTTGTGTCAATCGTGATACCTAAATATTTCACATCATCAGTTTTATTTAAAGCAGGGCAAGTGCATGCAATGTCATCTAGTGGACAGATATGTACATGAATATTTAGGTTAGGTGCTACAATATTTGTGTGCCGCATTGAATGTATTTTGTTTTCTCCGCATTTAAGGTCAGTAGATTTTTACGAAGCCAATATGATACCTCATTAAAGCCATTCTGTGCATGTTGAAATACTTCAAGTCGTGACTTAGCTGAGAATAATAGAACTGTATCGTCCGAGTATGACAGTATGACACCATTTTGTAGTTTTAGGCAACATAGGTCATTAATATAAATGAGAAATAACGTTGGTCCTAATATGCTGCCTTGCGGAAAGCCATAGCAGCTATTTTTTACCTCAGAACTCGCACATTGACCTATTTTGACAGATTGACAGCGGTCACTAAGATAATCAGTAAATAGCTGAAGTTGTGTTCCCCTTATTCCAAGTTTTTCTAGCTTCTGCAATAGGATAGAACAGGAGATAGTATCGAAAGCTTTGGCAACATCTAAAAAGATCCCGATAGAGCACATACCTTTGTCTTAATTGTTAGTTAGAAAATGTGTCAATTGATGAACTGCTTGGTTAGTAGATCTTTTAGGTCTAAAACCGTATTGATTTTGTGATAGCAAATGGTTATCTTCAAGGTATTTCATAGATCTCCTATGTATTTATATTTTTTTCTAGGATTTTGGACAAACCTGTTAATATTGAGATGGGTCTATAATTTGTAATCAAATTTTCATCTCCAGATTTATATAGGGGTATGACTACCGCTTTTTTAAGTAATTTAATAAAAAGGCATGTTTGTAAACGCCGTTGAAAAATGTGTGTCAACGGTGGAGCTAGTAGATCTTTAAAGCTATTAGAAATATTGTCCCATCCTACTGAGCAAACATCCCTTAACTCTGTTATACTTCATCCATATCGGTGTCTAACAAAACAAACGAAATTAATGTTTTTATAGACAATCTTGTAGGGATATGATTAGAGATAGAGCTATTTGAGTGTACAATCTTTTTTGTTAAGTTTCTGCCAACATAAACAATAGTAAGTAAAAGCAAAAGTATTGTTGATTTTATTTATTGAATCGATGGGGCTTATTTCTGTTGATAATAGATCAACATTAGGAACAACACATTAGGAAACATACAATGTAAAAAACAAACAAAAAAATCAGTGATACAATGGGGGATTTTATCACAGTCTGCTCTTTCACAGGTAACCTTTAGATGGACTATAATTATACTCCATAGAAATATACGAGGGCGGGTCAATAAGTTCGTGACTTTTTGAATTTCTGACCTCTTTACTGAAAAAGCAACACTACTCCTGTCAACAGGCATCTGTCAGTTGACTCCTGTCAAAATTTGAACTTGCTGCGTCAGTTAGTTTGTGTTTGACAGCTATCTTTTTCAGACTACCCAGTAATTTGAGTAAAAAATGGAAAAAAGTGAATTTCGTGTGCTTATTAAGCATTATTTTTGCGAAAAAAAAAACCATTACCGAGACCAAGGCTAAGCTTGATAAATACTATGGGGACTCTGCACCATCGATTTCAATGGTAAAAAAGTGGTTTACTGAATTTCGTTGTGGCCGTACAAGCACTGAAGATGCCGAACGTCCTGGACGCCCAGTTGAGGTCTCTTCGCCCGAAACAATCGAAAAAATTCACGATATGGTGTTGGCCGACCGAAGATTGAAAGTGCAAGAGATTGTGGAAGCCGTAGGGATCTCGCATGGCTCAGTGGTTTCAACTTTTGAATGATCACTGGGGCATGAGAAAGCTTTCCGCAGGATAGGTGCCGCGATTGCTCACAGTCGACCACAAACGCAATCGTGTAACAACTTCACAGGAAGGTTTGGCGTTGTTTAATCGCAATATGGAGGAGTTTTTGCGCCGTTTTGTAACCGTGGACGAAACATGGATCCATCACAACACACCAGAGACCAAACAACAGTCAAAACAGTGGGTTTCTAAGGGTGAATCGGCGCCAAAGAAGGCCAAGGTGGGTTTGTCAGCCAATAAAGTTATGGCGACTGTCTTTTGGGATGCACGCGGGATAATCCACATTGACTACCTTCAAAAGGGAAGAACAATCAATGGGAAATATTATGCCAACTTATTGGACCGATTCAATGACGATTTGAAAAAAAACCGACCTCATTTGGCCAAGAAAAAAGTTCATTTCCACCAAGACAATGCAAGGGTGCACACATGTGCAGTTGCCATGGCAAAAATCACTGGCAACTGCACTATGGGCTATGAATTGCTCCCTCATCCGCCCTATTCTCCAGATTTGGTTCCGAGTGACTACTGCTTGTTCCCAAACCTGACGAAATGGCTTGGTGGAAAAAGATTTGACTCCAATGATGAAGTCATCTCGCAAACAAAGGCCTATTTTGAGGACCTCGACAAATCATATTTTTTGGAAGGCATAAAAAAATTGGAGAAGCGTTGGAAAAAGTGTATAGAGCTCCAGGGAGACTACGTTGAAAAATAAAATGATTTATTTAAAAAAATCTGTGTTTTATTCCAAAAGTCACGGACTTATTGACCCGCCCTCGTATATCATATCATCCGTGTGGTGAAGGATGAAGAATAGGAGGAGGGTCACCACCCCTATCCATCCCGTGGGTGTCGCAAGAGCTGACTAAGGGTGCTAACTACGCAGGACAACAGCACCTCAAAGAGAAGGAAAACTTGACACAAACCCTTACCAACCCGTCTCGCCAGCGTGGTATAGTAGGCCAAAACCTAGCTTCTATGTTCCGCAGTGAACTATTAAAAACTGTTGATGTGATGTGATTTACAAATTACGTAGATTAACTAAAATTACATTAAGTACATAAAATTACACATGTACACACCCCTATAGCACATAGTTTTTACAGTGATCCTTGACGAGTTTTTTAGAAGTATTTACTGACTATGCCCGGATTATAGCTTCCTGCAACGAATTCCATAGGCGTGCTGCTTGCACTGTGAAAGATGTCTCGTCCACACCTCTCTATAATTAGGCCTAAGTTCTTACCAAAAGATATATAAATGAATACCAATGTAATGCAGGTCAATGGTGCATTCGGTCCTAGAGAACGGAATTGGTTTCTATGTTCCTACATAACCCACACAAAGAATTGTGTGCGAGTTCAAATAAAATTACTCTTTGATTTTGTGCGGCAAATCCCCTCGGGTACCATCAACTGGTGGTTGAGTCGGACTCGAACTAAAAACGGGTACCAGTTAGCCGGGGAACCAGATGTACCCTAGTACCCCGGGCCATCTAAGGCTTGTCGATTACCCCCTCGTGTGTGGGAATCACGGTGTCCCCATTCTACTCCATAGAGGGCGCGCGCGCGTGTCGAGCCCCCCACCCGGCCTGCTTCTGCCAGCATGGCAGAAAGCCTCACCTGACACTCCCAGGCCTGCATTTAAGGAGGAAGAAAGTCGTTCTGCGACATCCGGCGCCTGAGCGCCAGCGCAGACCTAGATAGGATATTTATGACACTCGAAAATTAACTTTAAAACTATTGCTAAAAGTGCATACATGTTTGCACATGACAAAAATGCCCGCGCACAAGCCAGGTGTATACACTCCTCCGACATGCCACCGACAGTATAGTAGTACAGTGGTATCCGAGGGGATTGCCGCACGGAAAAAAAAAGAAAAAAAAAGAGGTGTATACACTCCTCTCGGTCTGCACTAGCCCCGAGTCGTCTATCTTGTTTGAGCATAATAAATCAACCAACCAACCAAAGTACCATTGGTTGATTTATTATACTCAAACAGGATATATATTATGTAATTCATCTGTCTCGAAGATACCTGCTTACTACTACTGCCTACTAAACTTGAGGTATTATATTGTCTTGCACTTTTGGCCATAAACATTGTCGACTTCACATTGAACAAGTGTATTACATCTTTTTGATATCACCACTGATGAGCCACTGCCATTCCATTGCCACTGTAAATACACTTAGTGTTAGTGTAGACTACCGATATTTATACCGATGCCAATGGCCACTCGATGGCATCTCAATAGCGTGTCAGTGGTATGACAGAGGCTTGGCGTGAACATAAAATAGCAAAATTGAGGCCCAGTCTACTGAGTCACAGCTGCGGCCACTGGAAATCTTCGGAATGGAGTCATATATGGTAATCTTACACAAAAAACGCGCTTAAACTAAAAATAAAACGACGCGTATAGCTGAAAAAAATTATATTTTATGAGAAATTATAATTTACAATATTTCATTCAGGCATCCATCTTCAGTCGGAACTTAAGCTAAAATTCTCACAATCTCACGCAAAAGGTAAAGCAACGTTAGACTATAATATAGTTTTAGCAATATGTTGTGTAGTCATCGCCCAAATGTAAAACAAATAGGTAAGAACCACACCAGTAGGTACACGATATTTATCGTCCATTCGTAAAGAAGATACGTACCGGCGGCACTTTCAACTTGGACGACACCAGTTTCAATATTACAAAGCTCGCCTTTTGTGTCTAATCACCAATATAGTTTTATTGTGCTTTGTTTTGTAACTACCGCAACTAAAAACAAGTTCAAGCTGATCCATTGAATACCAATTAGATTTATTAATTAACATTTACATCTACTACCTTTTATACTTATAGCGTATTTTAGGAGGCGAGCTTCGTCACATCGCAATTCGAAGCGACGTACGGAAGTACCTTTTTAGATTAGGTGACCGCACCGCTATGTCAAGGCCTTGTGTCGTCACAGTTGAAGCTTGAACCGCATCGGGCCTCAAACTAATTCACAATATTGCTGTACAATTGCACAAAAGAAATACAGTTACTGTGTATACAGCATACACAGAGATTGCACTTTAATGGGTAACATCAATAGAAAGTTTCCAATATTGTGCGCTAAGTTTCAATTTCACATTACGTTGAGCATTTCAGACAGCTGTTTCTTAATTAAAGCATAGAGTTTTGCTATTGACAGTGTCACTTGTAATTGTGCTTAGCGGTCGATATAGAAACTTGAGCTGAAGAGAAATCAAGACACAACAACAAATAATACAATAGTTATATATCATAAAAACAGAAACTTTGTTTCTATACATTTAAAAAAGGAAAGTAAATAATAACACGAAGCAACACTCTTAATTAAGCATGGTACAATAAAATACTCTAAAATATGGAAACAATTATAAAACGTAGTTACATTTGTGCTTCACGTTACAATAAAAAAGTATGCCAATAGCAAAACTTGGCACTGTCCGCTCAATTCACTCAGCACATTTAGACCCAAATGTACAATATATTACATTGTGGTAAAAGCGTTCGTGCAAAAAACTTCGGTCTCGGTTTTTACAATTCACGTTCCGCTTTTGTTGTCCCTGGGTTTCTAGTAAAAAAAGTTTATATCAAATGCATCAAAAATGTCCTTAAACAACTAACATAGTAACCTCCTATACTTGACGTACAGCTAGCTGAATGGAATTCTCATACAATGATAACGTTAGGAAGAAATCAAATACACCAGACCACAGCGTACACAAAGCCTACAGTTAACGTAAAACATTTTGCGTGAAGTCAATTCGTGTAGAAAACACCATATTTAAATATAAACAGCTTAAATAATAACATATATTCAAGTAACAAAAATTTCAATGTACAAAAGTAACGAAATATATTTAAATACAGTAATAAAGTTATAAATCTTTCAATTAACAGAAAATAGGGTACCAATATGATAATTATGTCTATTGAAGTTAATCGGTAGGTAGAGAGTTTGTTATCTCTGGGCCGAACCGACGTCGAACCTTACCTGACATCCTTTCATAACTAAAATAAATACGTAATAGTAACACGGAAGCATCCCGAGCGATACATTAGTAGGAAGGTCCGTCTCGACCCATGAGGTGATACTAAACACTCGTTTCATTGGACTAGTTTGTTCAAATCCATCTGTCTGGACATAATAAAATGTAGGTATACTAATGTAGAAAGATATTATGGCAACAAACTTTACAAAAACCCTAAAACAATGACTAAAAGCAGCTCATGGTAAGGCCAAGACTCACCATAACTTTAAAAATGCACAATTTAATATTCACCGATACAGACACATACATAAATTGTGAATAACTTCATCATAAAAAAACATGTCAAAAACCTGACGCGTTCTGGAGCGATCCGTTTGGATCGAGAACGAATGTTTGTCCGAAGAGTGCGGCAGGGGATCACCGGCCCGAGCCACACTCCGCACTCTTGCTAGTTTTTGGGTTAAATGACTTACAATCTATCCTTACTTTCTTATTAAACATTATAAGGTTTGAAATAAGTTCGTCCATCCGATCTCAGTTCGTGAATTTACATACACATTCTGTCGTGAAGTGATGATGTTTAAATTATGTGTTATACACAATCACAGATTTGTGTCAGGGACCATGTTGGTTTCGCTTACACGAGGTTGTACTCCTTTAGGTTAGATTGTAGGATTGTGTCTTTCACTGCAGCAAACACGAAACGGATGTTTTCAGTATCTGTAAACAAAATATTTCATAACTATTTTATCAGCACAAAGAACGTACATAATATGTATTTCCTTTGAAAGCCTCCCTGATTTTAAAAGAGTTTCCAATGCAGATTCAGGAAATTAGATAGGTACGTTTATTTCAAGAGGTTGAAGTATGAGTAAATATAAACCTGGTTCACATCATCACACATCAACAGCTTTTAATAGTCCACTGCTGGACATAGGCCTCTCCTTAGAAAGGAGGTTTTGGCCTACTATACCACGCTGGCCAGACGGGTTGGTATAGGGATTGTATCAAGTTTTCCTTCTTTTTGCAGTGCTGGTGTCCTACGTTGTTTTGCGCCCTTAGTCGGCTCTTACGACACCCACGGGATGAATTGGGGTAGTGACATTCCGTATACTTATTCACTACACGGACACTAAACCTGGTTATTTCAGAGTAATTCAAAACGTAAGAATTTTAATAAAGAAGCCCAGTTTTCAGGTAAAACAATAATATTATAATATAAACTGGACAGCAAATAAACCGAGCCACCCGCTACCTAGGCACTCAATTCGATTTTCTCAAAAACTAAAAAACCTACAATTAACAAAGTTGTACCTACAGAAAGTGCGTTTCATGGTGATTAAAATGAAAGGAAACTCATTGGGTTTAATCAATATTGCAGTGTTTATTAAGGATTTTACAAAGAAGAGTCGTTTTCCAGTCGTGACAATCGTTAGTAATGATAAAGTGAAAAAAAAAATTAAAGCCAAAAACAAAGATAAAATCAAAAAAAAGTTTTTGATCAATATTCCGTATTCCCTCCCCTTGCTCGGATAACTGCCAGCATCCTTGTATTCATCGACCTTACGAGCCTGACGATAAAATCTTGAGGAATTGTATTCCACTCCTCTTCAATTGCGATTCGCAGCTCTGGAAGCCTTGTTGGAGCAGGTACCCGGGCTCGAACCCGACGTTTCAGCTCATCCCATAAGTGTTCTATCGGATTCAAGTCCGGACTTCGAGCTTTCCAGTCCATCGTACGAATGCTGACGTCGCGTAGATACTGGGTCACCACATGAGCAACATGAGGCCGTGCATTATCATGCATCAATTGCATATCCTGTCCGATATATCCTACGTAAGGTACCACATGGTCTGCGAGGATTTCAGTAATGTAGCGATGAGAAGTCAGTCCATCAGTGAAGAGTACATTACTCCGCTGCTCTAATGTCCAATCCCTATGCTCTCGAGCAAATTCAAGTCGTGCTCGACGGTGTGCTACCGTTAATGCTGGGCCTGTTGCAGCTCTTTTTGGGGTCAGGTTCCGTTCAGCAAGTCTCCTTCTGACGGTATCTGAACTTATGACCACTTGGCGTTCGTCACGCAGACTTTGTTGGACTTTAACTGCGTTGAGGTGGCGATTTCGCAGAACAGTAAGGTGGATATAACGATCATCTGCTGCTGATGTAGCCCTAGGTCTGCCCGTACCTGGACGGCGATCGAATGCTCCAGTCTCTAGGTATCGTCTGTAACCTCGTTGCACCGAAGATCTGCTGATTCGAAGCCTTCGAGCGACTTCACGTTGCGCAATGCCTGCTTGAAGTAATGCTACAGCTTGAGCTGCTTCCTGAGGTGTTGTATCCATTATTAATCGAAAAAACTAGCAAAAACACACGCGTCTGAGCAAACGATGGACAAAAACTAAAGAAATTATAAGAAATATCCGACTACCCTCATTGTAGAGAAAAAGAACGCTAATGTCAAACTCTGGTGAAAACAGAGCAAATCGTTAGCATTGTGTTTGTTGCTTGATTACAATGTGAGTTGACGGTACTTTCGAATTAATTTTTAGTCATTTATCACCATGAAACGCACTTTTTGTAGGTATAACTTTGATAGTTGTAAGTTTTATACTTTTTGAGAAAATCTAATCAGAGTTCCTAGGTAGCGGGTGGCTCGGTTTATTTGCTGACCAGTGTAGTAATAATTTGTGATACTATAGTAACTAGACTGTTGATGATCATATATTTAAATACCAGTATTTAAATGAATATGTATTAGGTAAATTAAAACACCAAGTCTCAATACTCTCAATAATCGAGCTTTTCACGCAATTTTCTACTCTGAGTACGAATCAAACCCACGACTCAGACACATTAGACAGACAAGCTCAAAATTTAGCTTTTAAAAAAAAAAGTTGTTTTCGAGCTGTTTTGCTAATTAATGAGTTTCTGATTTGCAAAAGACAAAAAATAATGACCAAAATCACATAATTCACTAAAAGTATTGATTTTCCACATTGTGACTTGAATTCAATTCTTAAACCTTGAACAATCCAAAAATACCTAACTGAGTTTAGGATGTAGTATCGGTGACTAAAATAGCTCTAACGTGTATACTACTTTAACCCCTTGGAAGAAATGAATCGTTTTTCCTGTCTTCCTATATAATACTCCTAACAAATATAACTTGTTGTACCTGCATCTAGTCTCCGAAAAAATTAAAGAGGTGAACGTGTCGAAAAGTACTCGATAATTTAAAAATGTTCGGTGTTTATAAGTATTAAGTCCACGGTAAAACAAGAGCTTTTTACTTATTTTCTAATGTTATTGTTTTTTTCTTTTATTTGCTTGGTTTTTTCTCACAAAGCTTAACCGTTTGGAAATATAGGCAACACAGATGCAACTTCTGTTTTTTTTTCCTTTTACTTTCTAAAGTTACCTGTGGTTGCCTTGCCTTTGCTTGTGTTTATCTATAACGTAAATATTATAAAAAAAAGATTACAGGCGATTTCAAATTGATAACTAATTTTACGAAACAAAGTACCTAAATTTAAGTTATAACTACTGAATTCATTTCTGTGTCATTTTGAATTTTCATTCATAACAACTAAATCAACGGTTGTAATTAATTAATAAATATGTGCAGTTGTTATTAGACGGCGTCCAATTACAGCTTTCCTTGTATAATTTGTAAAACTAAGTTTACAATCGGTATCATCATCAGCCTATCGCAGTTCACTGCTGGACATAGGCCTCTCCCCATTGCACGCCACTTAGATCGATTTTGGGCTTCTCGCATCCAGCTCTTGCCAGCCATCTTGCGCAAATCGTCAATCCACCTGGCCTGTGGGCGTCCTACACTACGTTTGCCGAGACGCGGTCTCCACTCAAGAACTCGTTTTCCCCAACGGTTATCAGTTCTGCGGCTAATATGGCCAGCCCACTGCCACTTCAGCTTGCTGATCCGGTACGCTATGTCGGTGACCTTGGTTCTCTGCCGGATCACCTCATTTCTGATGCGATCTCTTAGAGAAACGCCGAGCATAGCCCTTTCCATAGCACGTTGAGCGACTTGTGGACCAGCCGTACCGTAAGTGTCTACGTTTCAGCTCCGTATGTCATGACGGGTAGGACGCACTCATTAAAGACTTTCGTCTTAAGGCACTGTTACAATCGGTATAAGTTGTATATATAACAAAAATCTTCTGTTTCTCTACATTATAAACGAAAAGATATAGTCGGCAATGTGACAAAATTACTGCGTGAATCCAAATTAATGAAGAAATTTACTATGAAAATAATGTAATACTGTAGGTTAAGTATAATGTTATTTGAAATGTATTGTAAATGAAAATAAGTATAATAATGTTAACCTTGTATGGTGGTGATACAAGGTTAACAGATATGTATTTTCAATATCACATTTCAAACACTACTCGTCATACAGTAACGTAATGATCGTCATCTGTTCCACCGTAGTGGTGTCACTCAAGTGATATAGATGGTTTTCCTTGAAAAGTTCTTAAGGAGTTTAAATAGAGGATCTCGACAATGTCTACAGCAGTACACAATAATGAAGAGGAACCTACTTTTGTTTGAGAAATCACATTATTCGTAAAATACTATGTACAAATTACCTCAATTAATGACTTACTTATACGAGTATTATTTTTCAATACATTTCTAAATACGATGCATAGCAACCCTTTAAACAGCAGTTTAAACAGACAATAATATGAATATTATTAGTAGGGAAGTGATCTATCAAACACTTTTTTTACTAAGTTATTGTATTTGGTAAAGCTATTGTGCGTTAAGTGGCTGCAGTTTAACTTATTGTAAGTTAAACTGCTCTTATAAAATACTTAACAACACAAAATGTTTTATTTAATGTTTTTACAAATAATAAACAGACTTCTTGAAAAGCGACCAATAAACAATTGCTATCCTGAAATATTACACCTAGATACACCATTTCCTATGTGGACACATTGGTATGGTAGCGTTTATTCACTTAATGCCAAATGTGTCCACGCAGGACACACTTTTCCTCCAATAAAACGTTTATAACGTAATGTTTTCGTGAGAGCGGAGACAAAAACTAACGAGTAGTGTTGCTATGGCAAAAGTATGATTTAGTAGTGTTAGAGCGATAACTTATGATTGCCTTTTTAAAAAGACTCGAGCAGAGATAAAAATGTAATTTAACTCTGCGAGAAAACAGAAACAGATAGTAATAATACGTGTATTCATTTTTTGAGACTGTCCAGGTTAAGGTTTAAGCCAACTAAAAAATAAGGCGACACCGATGCTGTTCTTTTCTATATCATCTATAGAGATCATCCCACAAAAATCAATTTACCTTTACATTTGGTTTAGCTCTCCTTAAGGAAAAATACGTATCATAGATATACTCCTGGAATAAAAAACTTGTACTGACGATGATATAATAACCAAATTGTTGTTGATCTGCGAAATTTCAGAGTTGTAGGGTTGTAAAACTCTGTTATTAACTCTGATTTGTAATTCTAGTTTTGAGTTTTTTTTAGGTCCCAATGACAGTAAAATCGTAATGTAGAACTAGGACAACCCTACGCATAATTTGCTTACAAAGATGTCATATCCAATTTGGCTGAAATACATTATCATAAGCATAGGCATATTTTTAAACGCAGCGCGCACGAAGCAGCAGCTTACTCGTTCTGCTAGAATCGTGACGTACCCCGTGGTGAAGGATGAAAATCCCAACTGCAACCAAGTTTCTTATTTCCTGGCATAATAATATGACCTAACGAAAAAGGTCAGGGTCAACCTTCAGTCTACGTTCTAGGGAAAATGAACAATTCGAAGCCACTTCGATGTCCCTTTGGATACATTTTCTAATATTATTTTAGCTAATGGGGCCAGACACAATCCAGCCTAACCTAGTGTCACATAATGCTGGCAATTCCCTTGCCCAGCTGTATCTTTTCAGTACTTAACAGGTCCCAGAATAAGTTCCTGAATCCGTGCTAATCCTCTACATAATGTAGGCATTGATAGTGTGCATAATAATATAAGAGAATATGCCACATAATATATTTGTTAAATTATGAATTTCTTATACCTATGGAAAATGTTACATAGTGCTAAGCAAGACAACATTGACGCCCATTTTAAATCAAAAAAGCGTTCAGCGTAAAAGGTTAAATAAAACAAATAAAACATGCAATAGTATTAAAAATAAATATTTATTAGTAATTTGTTAGTGTATACTCATGCTAAGTTAAACTCCTTCAGTGCTGATTGCATTATGGTGTCCTTAACGGCACAGAACACAAGTTTAATATTTTCAGTATCTTTATAAACATCCAAGGCAGCATGCAAAACAAACAAAATAAATAAAAGTATATGTTTAAGCAACACATGCAATAGAGAACATATAAAATTGAGAAATCGCTTCAATAAGCTAATACATATGCACAGAATAGATCTGTAGATTCGCGCGTTGTTGAATTTTATGTTTATTGTTATATATCATGGGCAAAGATAAAAAATAACAGTAGGGAAAAAAAAATTGATGAACTTGGAGAGGAATCGCAAAACACGAGTGGACGCCTTTGTCTTATTTTAATTTTTTTAATTCGGTGTCCAAATTTATGTACTCTAGTGTTCAAAATCTAAATCGATAAAGGCGTGTTGTTGTGCAAAATAAACAGTAAAAAGGCAAAAATGTTTCATTTTTAAACCAAACCAAGTTTAATTATCGCCAAGTACCGGTTATATGACAACAGGCGCTTATCTAAAGCAATTACTTTAATATTATGTATCTGGTATTCAATTAAGTTTTTTTTTTAATTCGTTCTACTGAGTAAAACACAAGCACTAAAACAACGTTCTAATTAGTGGAGATATTTTAACATTGTTGTGAACTACAACTACTGCCAGGAATAGACTACGCTTAAGCATCAAATTTGCAAGCGAAAAACTTATATTGCATTAAAATATAGCAAGTTGACTACGACTTACCTCTTTTTATCCTCAACGTATTAAACTTCCGTATAAAAACTATTTATTAATGATTAATAAAGAAGAATGTTAAACATAATACCATTTTTTTGTTTCAGTTCTACCCTATACATTAGAAGATCAAAGGTAGGTATATAATGATGACGTCGTCCTTATAAATGCCTACAAACGCAGTGCAGTAATTTTGAAACATTACTCAAAACTTAAAAATATTTTACTATATCAGAGATTATAAATTATTTCACTTTTTTAGATATATTAAGGAATTTATTAAACACATATTTTATCAGTCTATTATCGTACAGTAAATTTCCCTATCTATTATGTAAATATGATGTCAGGTAGTAAAACACACGTTTAAAATGGTATTGATTGTAATTCTATTTAGGTCACCCGTTAATTCTAGGTAGGTTGTCTCAACCATATTACGCAGTCATCTATTAAATATCTAGATCATTTTCATCATTAATTATTTAATTGGGGGGTCTACGATTTTTTAACACTTTGAAAACATTTGTTTTATAGCTAGCTGGCCGCCTGCCTAATGTCGACCTTTCTTGTGTATTCAATATTTTTTAAAGCGGCTACGTGTGTAATTGCCCCTAATATCAGTGGCAATGTCGGGAAAGTAGTGGGGCGCATCCTAGATCGCTCTCTTAATCGCCTCGTATCGTAATCAGTATTTTTATTATTATTACCCCTAACTCAGAAATTGGTTGGGGCGAGCTTACAATTTAGGACCGATTTTCGTGTAGGGAACCATGTCCGTGCGGTAAAATCGGTGTAATGGCAACAAGACGTTCTATTTGTTTATTCTGTTTGTACTAATGGTGTCACCTAATTGAGGACTCTTCAAAACATTCAATATCTATTCTTAAAAAGTTTTTCAAATCAGCTGGTTCTAAATGTCTAATCACGTTCATGTGACTCGATTTATGGCGTTTCATGAACCACCCCTTAACCCAGGTCTTCCTTTTTTGTCTGTTTTAATCAAGTTCAAAACTTTAAAAAAATAGTGTAGGCGACATCTTGGATCGACGAGCGCTTTTCTGCACGGTGGGTTACGTACTAACTGACAGGGACGCGTGTAGAGTAGTAGCCGATTTCATCCTCATCATCACTCTCCCGATATTATCTCAGATGTTAGGGCCGTGTGTAGCCGCTTTTAGATAAGACAAAGGTAGAAGGCGGTTTGGGGTACTGAAAAAGGATATGATTGAAAAGGGACTGAGACCGCAGTACTCGAAGAGAGCGCGTAAAACGTCATTGGAGAGGCCATTGGGACAGTTACATAAACTAACCTCTTTTTAGAATTCAAATAAGTGACAAAGAACAAGCAACCTAAATACATAATACAAAATAATCAAATATAACGCATTATTTGGCGCCAAAAATAACAATGTCAAACCCAACTTTAAACTCATTTGTATACCGAATGATTCTCACGTGCCGAAGGAAGGACGTATAATTAATATAAGATTAGATATTTTTTTTAACTGTACCAATTTTAGAAAACAAACACAAGGCATAATAAACTTATATTTATCAGTGTCTACCTGATTATCATAATGTATTATTATGTTATGTGTATAATAAACTCGTGTTTATCATCTAACTGATTATCTGTTGTAGATCGTACAACCGGTTACATTGTCATAGGAGGATTACTAATCGCTTACATCGCTCAATCACTGTCGCGTAATTTACGTACACTATCTGAGGAAACCAATGTCTTACATAATAGCTATCGTACCTTGTGTAATGATAACGTTGATTTTCTGTTATTAACAAGACGTAATAGTATTCTAGGAGAGATAGCGTTAGAAGTAAATTGACAATTACTCTCTTGAACATCTCTAATCCTCCTAAGCCCGGGGCTTTAGAGAAATAGTTCTCTGAAAGACCGAACTGGCTCTCTATAGAACACAATACTAAGAGTTAAGTCTCGAATTACAGGTGGAATTATGACAAAAAAATCTGAAGATCTTATTGTTTCAATTGATGGAATGTTTCAAAAAAACTCTATGGAACTATGAATACTGATAGTGCCGACATCCGTCTCTTTTACACGTGTTGAGTAAATCAAAATCAATTCGCGATATTTGCATTCATTCGGTCAATTAGTCATAATGACATCCATTACCTTATAGTGTCATAACAGTAAATGCTTATTGATGTGAAAGCACTTAGGAGGATATAGTTATATATTATACACCACCCCTATTTATCCCGTGGGTGTCGTAAGAGGCGACTAAAGGATCAAACTAAGGTAGTCGGCTAAGGAAAACTCAAACGCAAACCTCCATTCTAAGAAGAGGCCTATGTCCAGTAGTGGACTATTACTATAAGGCTGTTGATGTGATGTGATGAGATGTGTTGATGTGATTATATAAGAAGTGTAATCCGAGCGTAAAACCAAGAAACAAGATAGTGGAGAGTATCAATAAGATTGAAATATAAAAATATTATCGGTACATACTTCTCATTGCAGGGATACCTTTAAAATCAGTCTCGTTGTTTTGTTGTTGTATGTTGATGTGAAATACATCATATTAACAAATAACAAATCATGATGAATAAGATTTAGTACTTTTTAAGTAACTACCTCTTCTTACCCTTGGATGAAGAAGTGTCTATTTATAATGTCGAAATGATAGGTTTTTTTTCATACTCACATGGTTAGTTGCACGATACCTATGCCTAAAAACCACTTTAAACATATTTTGTCTGTCTGACTGTTTTTCCCAGGTACTCTTCAAAACGGTTGGACCGATTTTCATAATATTTTACTACCAGGTAGCTGTCTAACTTAGGCTATTTTTCCTCTCAAAAAAATCCTATAAAATTTTGCCCGGGAATCGAACCCGAGGCCTCATGGACTGCAGTCGTGTACAGTTCTACACCACTAAGGCAGCGCTTTTCAAATTCCACGCGAAAGAAGTCGCGAGTACCAGCTAGTCTTATAATATGTATAACTGACCTGTCGCACAAGTGAAATGGGAGTAGATGATTTTCTCCGCGTCCGGGTTCAGGTCGACAAACATTCGCAGAATGAACTCGCGTGCCGCGTTCGCGTCGCGTTGTGGACCTGTTGTAGCACAACACACATCTCTAGCATTTCTACGGGTTCACACAGTACAGATGAAATGTTCCTTAGTGATGTAGCAATTGGATAATTTTTAAATGCATAAAAGACTCAGATGATCATTCAAGTCCAACTACATGACGTGAAAATCATAATCTTTAGTCAAAACTAGAATCTTTTTTTTTTTGTTTTTTAATATAGCAACAATATTCAGTATATGGTACTTATTAAAATGTTTAAATATGTGTAGTTTTAAGTGTACGAAACATAGGGAGAAACGCATTAAAAGGTAAATAATACAAGAATTTTCTTGAAGGTTGTGTCAATAGTATTTATTAAAGCTAAACAGAATCCCTTTTCTGGGAAAGCATCCCCATTGGGTCCAAAACCAGTTGAGAAACCTTGACATACACACGTGAGTAAAACCATCCAATACGGTATTTAATAAATAAGAGTTGGGGTATGGGATGTTTTGAAATTTTAAAAATAAATAACAAGCAGGACCCGTCTTATAGCATTTCTTGGGACGAGACATTCCTGCTTTTACTAAGCTAAAAATTTCTAAATTTCTCCACATAGTAGACCTGACAAGGAAATTATAATTATTTTCAAGTTTTAATGAACAAGGTTGAACATTATTCATTGACGTGTTGGTGTTGCTATTTATTAAAATGCTCTCTTAAATGACTTGGACCATAAATAATATGTGTGCCTGAAGCAATTAACCAGAGAAAAATAATCCAATTTGCTGTCTCTCTAAGAACATTGCACATTTTCTACTTAACACAGTGTCTAGCTTCCAAAACTAGCGAAATACAAGTATTGTAAAACACAGGATGTATATTCAACCTGTAGCAGTAGTGAAATGCGAATAGCACGATCTCTCCGGATCTGGGTTTTCTTTCAAATACTTCTGTAGAATATATTCTCGGGCCGGTATCGGATCGCACTTTGGACCTATTGAATAAACTTAATATTTTAGAACTTCGAGAACATTTATCCCGTTAAAACTTTCTTCTTTTATCGATTCTACCTTTGTCTCTGTTTGAAGTATTTAAGAATCACAAATAAACAGACATACCATCATATTCTGGAAAGTAGTCGACAAGATGCGAATACATGATCTTCTCTTCGAGTAAATCCTTTTTGTTAAGGAACAAAATCACCGACGAGTGCTGGAACCAGGGGTACGTGATGATCGTCTTGAACAACGCCTTGGACTCTTCCATTCGGTTCTGAAGTAGAATTTTAATATAAAGAGGTGATTACATTCATACTAATACACTAAATTATTTACACTATAACCATCATCATTACCCCTTCTTTCTTTGCATTTTCTCAATTTTATGCGCAATGCGTCAAACATGGTAAAAAATGACATTAGGATCTTCCACCACGTTAACAAAGAAAACAAAAAAGCACGTCGCTCTGTGGTGCACCAGCTTTAAAATAAAGAGGCAATCAAACATGGTAAAGGGTAAAGGAAATTTGTTAAGCTAGCGCGAACTATTAAACCTAGAATACTGAGTCATTTTGACTCGCGCGGATCGTCACGATTCTTTATGTCAACTGTCACTGGTTAGACGTTTACTGGAGCAAGTGTTGTATAGGTAAGTATCACCATTTTGTAAATACAATTGGGGGACGCGGGGCGGCGGTGCATTCAACCAATTAGCTAGTGCGTCGCTGTCCGCCGGCAGTGACTGACGTGAAAGTATGGCTGTACGTGTTATTTTTCTTACGACTGCTACACACTGTATTATTTTGCAACATGGATAATCTGCCGACTCTGCCTCACTAAAAGATTTAAAAACTTGAAGTTCGGCTTACAGAGGTTATACTGTTGAAGTTCTAATAAAGAATATTTATAATTTTACTTAATTTTTAAATTGTATCTGAATATAATTTACATGATGAAGATAAGGTGATTTTATTAAAATTATTTTACAATATTAAATTTTACAATTAATCGTAAAAACTTACAGTACACTGACATTATAATACATGGAAATAAATTCGATTTTTATTACATTATGTGTAGATTAAATCTCAAACAAATAAATCTGAAGATATCGAGTTAGTACATCGTGTCATGTATAGCCGAGCGCATCACCCGCCCCGCGTCCCGCAAACCATCAGGAGGGCCAAGCTTACGGCGGTTTTACTATAGTCTTTGTGTTACTTTTTGAAGTTTAATATACAACGGCGTTTTGAGTTTTTGCCTGTTTTAATTTGGTCAATTTATTGTCATCCTGTTCTGAAGAAGGAACTGTAAATGAACGAACAAAGAAGCCAAATATGGTTGAATTTTATAATCAGACGAAAGGTGGTGTTGACACTTAAGACCGTAAATGTATTCGAATATAAGCTGTAGACGAAAGACTAATATACAGCATATGTGCCTATTACTAGCTAAGTAAAATACTGCGAAAACAAGCTCAATGTCAAATAAAATCCGCAAAATAGATATACATTTATGTGGACATTGCAGACAGGAGAAACGAAGCTTGGAGAAAATATTTAAGATTTGGTGCCTACAAATACAGAAGAAGATATCAGTCAACAACAAGATGAGCATGATGCGAAAAAGATGTTCAATTTATGTACTTTTTCATGTGCAGTCAAAATGGCTCATAATTAGATTTACGTTTGTAAAATATAATTAGTATTCCAGGGTTAAGTAAGAACTCAAAATCTAGGCTATTTAATGCATTAAGTTTAGTATATATTTCATTGCATGACAAGACTTATTTGCAAGTGTGTATTTCGCATGCATATTTTGGATATACATAGGTTTTTCATATGTACATTTGTATTCGTGAATCGTGGACCAGGCCAATACAATTGCGTCTCTGTGATAGTAACGCTTCTGCTATTAGTATGTGAACAGCGCAAATTCTGTTTTAGTTCATAAATTCTTTTTAACTTCAGACCTTGGCTTTCGTTAGGTAAGGTTGTACATAATAAATATGGGGATAAAACATATGATATAAGGTCAAATAAAATTAACATTTTCTATTATTACAAAATTCTTCAGCATAATCTTTAGAGAAAAAATAGGCTATTTTGACTGAGGTCATTATGAGCTCAACTATTTACTATTCTAGATTTAGCCCGTCCGTGCCTGAGAAATTAGTATTTTTTTTATTGAAATTGAAATAATAAATAATGGCTTCTTACCTCATTTTCAGATTCAAATAAAATTTGATCATATTCACTAAGGGCTACTAAGAATATGATAGATGTGACGTTTTCGAAACAATGAATCCACTTCCTTCTCTCGGATCTCTGGCCCCCGACGTCCACCATCCTGTTAGAATTACACAAACATTAGCATTTTGAGCATTTAGAGTTGTAAATGTTTAACTTCAAAATGGCATGAAATAATCATGTGCTGTGTAAATAAATATCTTTACAGACTGTAATGAAGAGCTAAAAGTTAGTGCACAACTATAAATTGGACCAGATATAGGATTTGAGCAATAAAGAACAACAATAAATAAAAAGGATTACATTTAAAATCATTATAACCTCGCAAACGATCACATTTATAGAGCATGCCAGATCAGGAGAGGACGAACATCTGGATATAACCAAACTAAAGGTAAAGAAGTTTAAGTGTCAGATGACCTACTGGCAAATAGTGTAATTGGGTTAGGAACTTTACACAGCCAGGTGAGAACATGCTCTATCCGTCCTCTAGAGGTCACATTGACGCTATTTGATTAAATTAGTTTAAAATTCACAGAAATTCGTCCAGATTCTTCAGAACTAGTACATTCAACTTCTGTAGCGCCGAATTTCAAACGAACTTAGTTTGAAGTTCGACGCTGTGGCAGCGCTGTACGCAAGGCTGTTTTCTTACAGGATAGCACTGCAGGTGGCGGTGGTCAGGACAGTCTTCACTTCACAAAGGACAAGTTTGCGAGGAGATTGATTTACAGGGAACAACTAAAATGAAGTAGGTTCACACGCCTTATGAGAAATTTGTCCAGATTCTTCAGAACCAGAACATTCAACTTCTGTGTTATTCTCTCGTATTCTTTATACTTATTACATTCACAGATTATTTCATGACATTCAGTTTTAAAGCAAGAATATACTTTCTGGCCCAAGGATTCCGAGAGCAAGAGAGTATCATTATAAACTAACCCAACTAGTTCACAAATCATGCGAGCACATAGCAGAGCACAGTAATATGATAAAGCGAAGGCAATAAAAATTAGCACGATAGCAGCATAAGAAACAATATTAGTAGATGAAAATAATGAGGTAAAATATTATCAACTTAAAATGGTGAGAACGAATAATCGTTCATCTGAAATAAAACATGCTTAAAATATATCCTATATGACACTTAATTACTTTGAATTTAGATAAATGGTGAGAATTATAAACATTAAATATAATAAATAATTTCATAAATTCAATGTTGCTTTGCTGCTTCTCGAAGTGAACACTTTATATTGACAACCAACGTGGTTAGACACAAAAATCTGATTCAAACATTATACTTACAGAGCAGAAAAATTGAAAATTATGGCATTTGAATTCAAGAAAAATGTTAAAGTACTTATTATTTAGATATTGATTTGATTTAGTGCAACTTTAGTAAGTGTGTATGCACATTCAACATCCTGGTTGTCAGGCACACAGACCTAGACCTATTTTAGGTCGCAATTCCCGACTCGGAATTGGACCCAGGAGTAGGTTTAGAGAGTACTTCAGTTTTTGTCGAGACATGTCAGCGCTCGCCTCCACTGTCTGCTGTGTTACCTCTTCTACCTAACCATATTTGATACGAGCCTAGCAATACCGCTTTGGATATTCGTTCAAGAAAAGAGCTTACTGAGGCTCTTGGCATTCTAAGGTCTTTAAGTAGGTTATAGAGGGATTTAGCTGGTATACTCCTCGCACCCGCTTCCACGGCATACAATGCAACGAAATAACCATTTTTAGTTATTTCTTTAAGTTTAAAGTACTTGTTTCTTTTTAAGTTGATCTTTTTAAAATGTTCGTTTCCCACGGTACCGGGAGTTCTACTAGTACTACACGCTTAATTGACATTGCATAATGGTTTGGTTACACACAAAAGTAAAATATGTTATGATTGTTAGTTTCAGTAGTTGAAACCCAGATATAAATTTGTACTTGCATCTTGACAACGGGACACAAATATAAAATACACAAACAAAATAAACAGATTTCATATTTGTTTTAGAAACTTTTATGCAATACGTGTCTGCAATTAATTATGCACATTGGACCTACTGGAGAAATTATTTAAAATGTTTTTTTTTTTTAATATTTACGTTACGTATCGTTCCAGAAAAAAGCTGCTACTTTAACATACTGTTGGAACCGGTACGGTAGTAAAAGGGTATTTTATGATTTTTATGATTGTAAGGTAGGGTTCGGTGTGAACCCTCACCAATAATGACAATAAGTGGTATAAAAAATTGCCATGTGCAAATTAAGCATGTTTTAAACATTATCGTTAGAAATTTACAGAGGCGTTGTTATTTTAATCACCACCAAGCAAATAAATACAAGCATTTCTATATCATACGAGTATATCAAAACCACACCTTGGAACCGCAGAGGACTTGCAACTATATACAGAGTCAAATACTATCATTGATGTACTGAAATATTAAATATAGGTTGAAAGGGTAAACTGTAATCAGGGTCAACTAGCTTTCAACAACAGGAAACGGTGGTTGGTGGTTTTGAACATACCTAAATATGATTCCGTCAAGATTGAAAGGATACTCAAGAATGCCGGTGGTCGGCTGTCGAGCTCGCAATATATCCTGCTCGGTTGGCAGGTAATCGTCTTTTTCGATTCTTGCCAAATCGCCTAAGTAACTGAAATTTGTCACATGCAAAACTAAGGAAACATGCACACAAAGTTTACAGACAGATAGAAACCCTCCGAGACAGATGAAACATTCCTAATTCTTTTCATGCACATGTAAGCGAAGCATGCCCAGTTCAACATCGTCAATTTTACCTAAATCGTATTTCCTCCAAGTCAAATGGGTATTCTATAATGCCCGTTGTGGGCACTCTCACGCGAAGAATGTCTTGTTCTGTTGGTAAGTAATTTGGTGCCGCGACGCGGTCTATCTCCTGCAAGTAGCTACAGAAATATCTTAACTTAATATAGGTTCATAAAACAAAGACTTTTATAAGTACTTTATTGCTACACATATTATAATTTGTATTGCTGTCAACTATAGTATTTTTTTAAATTGTGCCGTAAACATTGATGTCCCAGTTATGAGCCTGGATAAAGTGGTGAGTTCATGAGAAGTAGTCTCTCGAATAATTTGAAACCTCCTCCTTTTTCTTAACTGTTTTATGTTTTAACATTAAATTGCTTAATATAAAACATTTACAAAAATGTTGTTTTAATAAAATTAAACTACTTTTATTTTAAATCCTTAAGGAATACCAGGGAATATGACAGCAAACTAATATAGAATATAATATTGGCGTATTTAATTAATTATACTTTGGAAGATGACATCACATGCAAAACCACAATCTTTTAACAGTTTTGTTCCCAAACAATTTCAGTTTCCTGTAAGCGGGACTATGATAATATGAGTCAGTAATGCTGGCATTATAGGAAATTGTTTGAGAGATAATTACCTACACGTGATTATTTAAAGAACGGCTATTATTACATGCAATATAATGTCTGTCATTTTAAATATGAGATTCAAACATAATGCTTATTGTAAGAAATGTTTTTATAAACTTTCTCCATGACATAATCACATATTACCCATTATGACTAATATATGCACACATACATGTGAGCCACAAACAGAAGTTACTTATATAAACAAAGAAATATATCGGTTTGCAGAACAATAACTCCAAGTTACCACGAACAAAATATGTTAGGTTAAGATATATTTATAAATAACATTATTTGATGTCATTATAAATTTGAATTTCTAGTCTATATAAATTATTTAAAAAGTGTGGCTTTTATTTTCATTTATGAAACAAACAGATATTGAATCAAGACTTGGAAATTGTATTGTAATTGTATTGTATGTGTGATACCTCATTTACGGTGCAAACTTCAGCAACAAAAATTACGCAAAATTATGTCGAGCGTGGGCTTACATTTCGTGCCAGCAAATAAGACCGCACCCGAGCGAAAACATATTGTGTGTAGTTATCACTGGGCGGAGTGTAGACACGTTCATTAGGGTATCGTCTGATTTAAATTAGTTACATACTTCCAAGTAACAACTATTCTACATGTATATGGTTTTTGCAAACATTTTTAATAAAGTTTAATATAATAACTATGTATTATGATATATTTTTATTTATACATTTTTCTTTTAACAAGACTATTCCCACACTAGGAATATATCCTATGGGGGACTTTACAATCACACACCAAACGGACGCAAAGAAAAACCAGACTCAGAAAAACAATTATTAGTGAATCACACAAAATGTTGTCTCCTATGGGTATCGAACCCACAAACCTCAGCGCAGTAAGAAGCGGCGAGGTAACCGCTTAAACCACTACGCCATCTGTGCAGTCAATTGTAAACTGTTAGTAGTACCTATCTATAGAGCACAATTATTTTTTGTTATTTCTTTTTCATATAAAACCTATGTATACCTCATAAAAATGTCGCATTTACGAAGGTCCTGCACTTAAAAGATTATCTTAGGTATAAAATCGACTTAGTTTGTATGTAGTCAAATTTTAAAGTTCTGTGATTTTCAATTTAAACACCTCTAAACTGAGACTTATACACACGCTTGTACTTATATAGTTTCGAGCTATCACCAATAAAACTTAATAAGTGAAATAGTTTGTTGTATTCGACTTGTAAGGAGTTAACAGTGAATTCAACTTACTATTTGGCCGAGTCTGTCAGCTGGTATTCTCGCCTGCGGTCGTAGCACTCTTGGATGCCAGAATCCGCCCAAAGGCCCTTGATGGCTTCAACATATGGGCTTTCAAACGATGTAACACTCTCAAAGTCGATCATAGATATCAACTCCGCCTGCTCCTGTAATTTTAGGAAAATAGAATTAAAAACTTTTTCACAATTAATACGTTAGAAGAATAAACTATAGTCTATTGAGATATGACAAGACTCCTTTACAATATAACCAGCGGACCCGATTTTACGGAGCGATACAAATAAATAAGCTTAAAACTTAAAAATTGAATTGCTAGAACTTTATTTCAGTACCGCCTAGCGGGTCCAATTGAGTCTTTAAACCACTTTAATATCCCCACACATACATACATTTGAAACATTTCATCGAAATCGGTTCAGTGGTTTAGGCGGTTTACGTGTATATAAGAATTATATATGTATAAAGAATACCGACTTTGTAAGATTTCACTTATTGGATCAAGTCTGTCATTACTAATTTAATTTAAAACTGATTATACGATCGAAATTCACGTGAAAGAATAAGTACCATCATCGTACGCCACTTTTTAATTAAGTATCAGTTTTAAATTACAATTGTGCTAATATTGCATTTAAAGGCTTGCCACATTTTGGATTAAAGCAAAGTTTTAGTGGCCTAGGTATTATCTCTCCATGTGAGAGAGTTTAAGACAGTTAAAAAAAAAACAACTTTTCAGAACTACACAACTCAAGGGATTAAACGTTATTAATTTGTTTGCAGGATTTATCTGTAGAAGAGCGACTATATGTATATTTTTCGTTCAAATAATATACTTTTAAATGACACGTACTAAGAGTTTTATTTAAATAAGACACACTTCGATTTTATTAAATCGTTACTATACATTCCTAACTTAGGTATTTATTCCATCAAAACAAAGAGCTGCCATTACAATTGGGTATTTCCTGTATTTATTTCTGGAGTTTCAATTATCACATAAAAATTAAACTATGATTATGTGTGTATTCATGGACATAACTTATATTTATTAAAAACAAAACATTCAGATCATAGGACTTCTTTGTTATAAACACCCTTAACCAACCCTGTCTCTTCATATACCTACTTAACATGGTGAATTAAGGAAGAATTGAAACAAATAGTTACTGCATTTTACCTTCACTCGTGTAAGTATCTATATACCAATAAAAGGAAAAAATTTAAAAAAACCAACAAATATTTTCAGCTGTCGCTATGAAGTCGCGCAATCATCAACCAAACCTCAAGACACAAATCGTGTAGGTATTTAAACTATAGCAATACTTACTACGTTGGACGGATTTCCATATTGTATTGAGAGTAGATCCATGGCACGTATCATACTCTGCATCGCCATAAAGATGTTCTGGTATACAAGCTTGATAAAAGTGCGTTTATCTTCGTCGCTGTAACCCGACCCGTGGATGATTCTCATCTGCTTGATGAATGTTGACTTGCCTGACTCGCCAGTGCCTGTTAACAACATGTATAATGTCAATCAAAAGGAAATAGAAACACTACCTACATAGGTTTATGTGGTTACAATTCTCCAGGAACGTAAATGTATACTTAAAAATGTATATTTCGGTACACGTATAGCAGACGTGGGTAAGTGGGAAATTAAACGTTAAATGTATTTGCAACAAGGCTCGGATTTCCTGGCAACAGTCAGTACGAATTACTGGTATGTGACTCCACCTAGGTAGGCTCCACAATCCCCCTGTATAAGCAACATCATTCTCCATCTATTGTATTCTCTTCCTGCCTATGTTGCCCTTTAAATATACAGATTATTTTCCCATCTTAGCTCCTAAAGTGCTTACCTTCAAAGATCATTTACTTCTATTTATCTTTGTAGCGTGCGCAGTATTTAAAAAATACTTCAATTAACATAGCACTAAAGTTTTCAATATTGTTTTCTTAACTATTAGACATTTTCCTAAACGAATTTAAATTTGATGTGCTATAATCAACAAAAACGCCTTATAAAAAATGTATGATTGATTAGGATTACGTGTATCTATTTTTTTAGCTTGGATCAACTAAAACCATATTAAAATCACTGAATTAGGTTCATACCTAGTCTTTCGTAATAAGCGATAAGTTAGAATATACATTTTTTTTACTAACTTTTTTATTAGTTCAACTTCAATGAATACACATCCTTTACATCTGATATTATACACTAACGTCCATGTTTGAACAAATTTTGTTAAGTAAGCTAAGCCAATAAAAATCTAAACGAAATGGTTATGTTCCTGCGAACATGTAAATGATAACATCCGGTGAGGAAAGACCTAGATAAAAGATTGTTTCAAATGGGTTCTGCGAACATATTATTGTTATTATAAATATATATATATTGTTATTTTACAGATAATAACAAGGACAAGAGCTCTTTGAAGACAATTAATTTAACAAAACCGAGTCTAGGTTTAGTCGTTCGTTTTAGTCCATTTATTTTTTCTTGTGTTCTTTCTTAATTAGCTTTGACGTCGATTTAGTCAATCAATTTTAGCTTGATAAAAAGTAGTCCATGTGCTTTCCAGGAATGTTCCTCTATTTATAATATTAACAAGCTGCGCCCCGCGATTATTGCTGTACCTTGCTCATCCCACGAGAACACTACATTTTTCGGGATAAAAAGCCTGTGCTCTTCCAGACTATAATCTATCTCTATGACAAATTTCATCAAGATAGATGGCATATACAACGAACCCAAAAACGGTGTAGTTATTATTCATCATAAGTCATTTAGGCAGATAAGTAATTTAAGTAACTAAGGAGTATTATCTTATAAGCTCTTAGGGAAAACATTTTTGAGACTAGATATCATCTAGGTCCACAGAACTTATCAAAGCTAGTCCAACGAGCTCAAACAGCACGGACTTACGTTGAACAGGTACAAAGTTTTTAAACTTCCTCCTAGATATATTATCAATCTACGTTCATGTTATAAAATTCAGTGGCGAGATTTGATCTATACCTACGCATGTATAGGCGAAGGAAACAAGTTAAAAAGAATCGAAAAGAGATCCAACGGAGTTAGGAGATTAAGTTTGAAAGAAATTGGGCAATGCCATTATTTAAATTAATCTGAATTGATGAGAAAAATGATATCTAAGTAAAATTATGTATGATATAACAGATTTTATAATCAAGTAGTACAACACTACGTTATGACAGCATAGATAATGATTCATTTATAAAGTGAGCTATCTAGTTGAACTTTTACATCAATAACAGCCACGAGCGGTGTCACGTGCGGACAAATGATAGTTGTCACGTGACTGGATGCGCTAAAGCGATAATAAAAATTAACACACCTTTGATTTACATAATATTCAATCACCAGTTCTATTAAGAGTCCTAAGCCCTTTTTATTATATACCTATTACTAGTATTATTATTAACCCCTTCAGCTAAGCTGATTATGCTTATGGTAGGTTTAAATGAGACGATAAACCCCGAGTTTGTTTTGTCTTTTCTTCTCAGGGCTAGTTCAGTTAGGAGCCGTCTCCTGTGAAAAAGTCATGCTTGCGAAGGAGATTGCGGAACGGGAACGGGCGAGATTTAACTCTTCCAGTTAGCCGGGCCCGGGAACGGCCTAGGTACCGCAGACGATTCAGGCGCCGGAGGTAGCAGAACGACCTCCGTCCTCCATAGGCGCATACATGGGGGTGACGGATGAGGTCATCTGTCACCCTAGCAGAAGCAGACCGAGTTGGCTCCGCGACGCGCCCTTTAGTTTATAGAACGGGAACACCGTGGTTCCTACACACGAGGGGGTCATCTACATGCCGTAGATGGCCCGGGGTACGTCGGGGTTCCAGTGATTTCCTTCCTAGGGTAGAGCTGGTTCCCCGGCTACTGGTACCTGAGATGGCGTGAAGTTTTTAGTCGGTTAGATTCCGACATAACCACCGGTGGGTGGTATCCGAGGGGATTTCCGCATAGAAAAAAAGGGGTAGTTCAGTTAGGAAACGCCGAACTCATCTTTTCTAAAGAAGTTTGGCTTGTAAAAGTGATCAAGTAACCTATCTGCAAAAAAAAAAAACGATTTCATTTCGTTTCAGAGTACATACGTCGGTAGAGAACTGGGTGGAGTTTTAAACTCCCGCAAACACTCGCAGGTCCGATGTAAAACATATGAAATTAATTAGAATTATAGAACATTAAACGAATTTTCATAGAAATTTTATCAAAAGTTTCATCATGTGTGACGGTAGCTACCTATGTTAGAGTATTGCAATAACACGTTTAGTATTTCATTTTAAAATATTTGTCCTTCCGTAAACAGGTTGTTTCCATCACCCCCCTAATGATTAGGGTATATTTCTTATATTTAATATTTTTTATTAAAATGTGCTGCGTGAAATGCATGAACAAGTGTCACATAACTTATTCTATGTGAAAAATTAATATAATAAAGTAAATTTCACTATTTCCAGTTAGTAATAGCTACGAACGTAAAACAAATAAACAAATCGTGAAATTCAATAATTTCCTAGAGCGGCTTTAATCTTAGTAAACTGCGTTTACTGTCAAGGTGTTCAAAAAGTCTTGTGGCACTTTTATGCACACAAAAGTAGACTTTTTAAGTTCAAAATTTATTCTGCAGATGAAAGCAAATTAAACAACATCCTACGTTCGAAAACTGTCAAGTCAGAAAAAGAAGTAAATTACAAGTGAAGTGAGCCGTGTTTTCATGTCTATCTTACATTTATAATACCGTAACACAGTTCTTTATTTTTCTAATCAAAAAAAATTGTGAGAAGTAAATTGAATGTTAGCATACCGCTGGTATCAGCTGGACATGTTAATTAAAGCTAGACTTGTGTTGCAAAGAAAATAAACGAATACTCAGGTACAGTTGTACGATTTCTTCATTGGCGTTTTTCGAGCTTCGTCTGGTCTATTACAGCGATAGTTAGTGAAATTTGTGGACATGCAAGAGTTTAACGCATAATTTAACTTAAAAAAATGGTGTGGTTAATTTCTGCTTAAGCATCTATGTTGAGTTTATTTCCATATGCCAAGTCTTTTTTTTTCGGGTCGAATTTACCAACATACCTATATTGGGTACCTTGTACCAGGTGGAATAATTTCTACTTTTAGCAAATACATAATTATTAGTGACCGGCAGAAGGTTCGGTTTTTGTTTCGGCCAGTTTCGGCCACAAGATCTAGTTTCGGCCGCGCCGAAACTCAATGTTCGTAAAGTATCGTGCGTCGTTCGGTTAACTTCGCGGCTAACTTGTGGACACCGATAGCTCAGTTTGCCGCCGTCCAGTGCGATTTTTTTATAGTGAGTTTATAGTGAGTAACTACCGCCACCCATGGACACTGCAACTTAAGAGTCACCAGTGAATTGCCGCCCTTTCAGTCCCTCCTCCCCTCAGCATAGCGCAGAGCAGAGGGAACATGGGGTCCCCACACGGGGGGGTCGTCTACTCGTTTGTAGATGGCCCGAGGTATGTCGGGGCACCAGGGACTTATGTATATCATTGTATTATTTTTTTGGGCATAGGGGGAAACGAAGAGATGGGTCATCTGATATCAAGTTACTACCGCCACCCATGGACACCTGCAACTCATGAGTGACAAGATCGTCGTCGTCGTCGTCCCATACGGGGTTTGAACCCACAACACTCGGCGTAGTAGGAAGCGGCGTGGCGACCGCTTAAACCACTACGCCATCCGTGCAGTCAATTCAAATTACAGTGCACTTATAATTAATTTATTTTATTTAAAATAAATTCATTATAAGTGCATTGTCAATTGAATTTGCCTAAAATGCAAAATATCAGCTACATAAGAAATGAATACTAAAATTCTTGTATAGATTAACATCGGTTATTGTACCTCTTAGAGTGCTCGGACTTCCTTGCGACTAATGATGCGACCCTGAGCTGAACGAGCTATTGTTTACACTCCCATCCTTTTCAACAATATCCCTTTTTTTCAATTACCTTTCCCTTTTAACTGCCAAGTGCATTGTTTAAGCAATAGGCTTTTCCTATTATGAGTAGGATGTAATTACAAAAATATATATTTAATTTAACACATATGTTATTTTAATATAACAGCAACTGGTTTCCTTACTAAATATGTTATTTTTATATCGTATTTAAACCTCCTTTGTAAGGAGTGTCCAGCAGTGGACTATTTAAGGCTGTTGATGATGACTTTGATTGACCTACTTATTATTTTTATGAAATGCAGAATGTTAAAAAGCACAAATAAATTACTTTCTTTTCAAGTAAATACTTTTTTGTTTCTTTTCATTTATTTCAATTATTCTTTCTGACTCTTTAAGCACAATAAACTGTCAAAAAATTATTATTAAGAAAAACAGATCATGTAATCACAGGTAAAAAGTATAAAATGATACAAATAATTAGTAGTGCTCGATAGCACTCGGGAAATGGTTGCAAAGCACATCAGCACTTTTTTATTACACATTGCATTTTAGTACACAAAATTAAAGGTTTACTCAAAAATAATCATTTGGATCACCAAAATGATCATGGCAATGGCAGTCACTTGGATCACTATGGTATTAAAGAATTGTGTTTATGACAAAAACAATAATTTGAAATAAAATACACTTGGATCCGTCTATTTCTACTATCGTCATGTGTTTGACTTTACATGTATTGTACTAAGCAAATTTTGAAAATGACAACAAAGAAAATGCATTATATTTAAAAGGTAATTTTTGTGTTAATGGATAATAATGGCTTTTAAAATATCATAGTTTAGTCATTAATGTTTTCTCTAACAAAAAAGCTTTTTAACTGCTGATTTGATTGCATTAAGTTATTCTTCTACCCCTAACAAACAATACTTTTTTGTGGATGAAAAGGAATCTTGTAAGCAAGAAAGTGTAAGAAACAAGCAAACTTACATTCCCATATTTCCAATTATAATTCTCTTTTTTTTATCTCTTTAAATCTTTTTAAAGAGCAATAACTCCAGCACTAGGAATAAATCCTGTGTCGCAGGGGAATTTATAAATATACATGAAACGGACACCAAGGACTTCCAGACTCAACTCAACAACAATTTGTGGATCACACAGTGTTGTCCCATGTGTACATATAGCGCAGTAGGAAGCGGCGAGGTGACCGCTTAAACCACTACGCTATCCGTGCAGTCAATTAACTTCATCTTTATTTTTGTACTAGGTAAATATTTAGAATATTTTTTAGAATAAAAACATGAATATCAATCAAAAGACACACAAGCAGCAAGGGTGAAGAAAGAAGGGTCATAATCTAATTAGAATATTGTACTCTACTACTACTTGTACAATGCTAAAATTTATTAATTTGAAAATACCGATGCCAGTTATACTTTAAAATACATATATATAATACTTTAAAATTTTCAAAAAACATTTAATATTGAAAGTCATTCATTGAGATATTTTACATGTCTCTGCATCATCTCTGCGAAGAAGAGCAGCTGCTTTGCCATGCCAATCCAAGACACTGTAACTTTTGAAAACGACTTTTGACCTCGAAAGCTTTGTTACAGTTTTTTACTTATTTATGTTAAAACCCTAATTTCAATACAATACAGTCATTTTATTATTGTCTCTTCTAAAATACACTTTAGAATAACGCAAGTGTTGATCAGGGGTACTAAACCTACGTAAAGAAACTGATTGAGCATTGTTAAGGCAAAACACTGTTGAGTTACAGTCTTTTGGATTGGCATGGCAATGCAGCAGTAAGTATAAATAGCAATCAATTAAATAAACTATTTGCCATTAGATGAAGCGTGATGGCCAAATTTAATTCAAGTGGAACTGTTAGTTTAAAAAAATACAACTGAAATGACAGGCACATAGGTGAATATTATCATACAATCTTGTATCTCTAGACACTCCTATTATTGTAAAGTCCATCCAAATTTTATCTATAAGAAAGAGATCACAGATTGTGATAAGACATTTGTAATACCTATAGTACTTTTTGTATTCTACTTTATGAGTACAATTAACCTTGTAAATATAGATAGCGTCTCGCATTTCACAGATTCATCTACAAGTTATTTTAAAAAATTAAGTCTTTGGCATCCCATGAAAATTTTATAAGAATTATCAGTAGTTTTATAAATCTAAAACTACTTATTTTTAGGCTATTGAGGTAGCTTAACGTAATGCTGTCTTAAAAAAAAACGATTGGAACGTATTTAAGAAATAACCTTTCTGTTAATGTTGCACATTATCATTATAGTGAAAATTAAAATAAAATTGTAGGTAATTAGTGTTTGTTTTATTCTTCTCTCACAGAAATGTTTTAACAGTAATCTTACTTTAATTGCTATTAAAATAAAATTACTGTTATAATATAACTTTACAATACTATCTTTTTTCCCTTTACACACATTCCCTCAAAAGGAATGAAATTAATGAAGAATGACAACTTCAAAAACTAGCTTGGGCCCTAGCCCTAAATAAAACTTTTATTTTATTGTTTTCTCAATAGTTAACAATATACTGCCCCTTTAATGAATCATTGAATTTCATTTTCTATAAAACACAAGTCTTAATTTTAATTTACATTGCATTACATTACAAACCTTGAAACGTAATTAGCTAAGAAAATCAATTATACTACTTACTTCAAATTTCAAATCTTTTCTTAAGGTCAAATCCAGCCAGTCATTCTTAAAACACAACATTGTTGTATTTAATCCTAAATGTCATATTAATTATTTTTAACCTACGTTAAATTTTAAAATATTACTGTTTAATTATTGTTTAAATGCAAGTAAATTAATATTATGTATTATTAGGAAAATCTGACTTATTAGTGTGTTATTGTTATTAATGCTTTCAGCATTAATAACAATTGTTATTGTTATTAATGCTTTCAGCATTAATAACAATAACACACTAATAAGAAAATCAAATAATTTTATGAAAAAGTAGCCATAATAGTGCATAATAGTGCAACCTAATTCTAGTTAAATTAAAGAAGGGGAGAATACCGAAAATATGTAACAAAATTAAGTAGGCCAAAAAATATATGCAACATAACACAGCAATCATTTCCAGATAAACCTATTTTCAAATAACTTTTTTTTTTTTAATTAAAAGTAGTAGTGTTATATCTATGTATAGAGTTTTGAGTGTATCAGGACATAACATACTGTTATAATTGGTTTCTCATTTATAGGTGTGTACCATCTTTGTATTCACATTCACTTGCCAACGGTTCGGTTGTGAGACAAATGGTTAGTCCATTATCCACTAAATAAGCAATAAGATTTGTCAGGGAGGGTCAGTAACTCGGTTAACCATATATTGAATAATGCTTTGTCGTCACACATAGACATAAGACAAAATCACAGTGAACTGTGAATGAACGGTGATTTATCATTTGATTTTTTTACCTTTTACTTAGGTTAACGTTACTACTAAATTAATTGTTGTTGCCAAAAAGCTGTTTTCAGACAATGCATAAAGACACTATTTTCGCCTATTCAAATCTAGTAATTATTTTACTACTAACTAACTACCATGCCCTACATAATAATTTAAAAAATACTTTATGTTCTGTCTGAAAACAGCTTATTGGCAACAACGCATGAGTAAGTAGTAACCCCAAACTACGATGAAAAATCTAATGATAAATCACTGTTCACTCACAATTTACTGTGATTTTGTACCATGTCTACTCACAAGTTACTGCAGTACTATAATACTATGCTATAATACTAGAGACTTGTGAAGATTGTTTGTGAGAAAAGCTGTGAAGCTTTTCTCACAAACAATGTTCACATGTCACAAAAATATTTTTTCTATCCCTTTGGTTTTGGCATGGATTAGTAACAAACTCGCTGATGTATACACATCACCGCACTAGAGTAAATTCTCTGGTGTAAACATTCATATGTATATGTTAAAACAATTGTACAGTCTAGTGGGTTCTTTTTTCCCAACCATTTATCAAGTTGACAATTAAAACTGTTCACAGATTTTGCCACAACACAAAATAAAATGCTATCATTCTCTCTATAAGAAAGAGAATGATAGCATTTTTTTCTACATATAACTAAAAAAACACCTTAAACAACCCTTTACGAATTATCCTTAAGTATTTTAAGAAACATATCCATTTTACATTAAGCAAAATTACATGTACCATTTATCAAGTTGACAATTAAAACTGTTCACAGATTTCGCCACAACACAAAAAAAATGCTATCATTCTCTCTATAAGAAAGAGAATGATAGCATTTTTTTCTACATATAACTAAAAAAACACCTTAAACAACCCTTTACGAATTATCCTTAAGTATTTTAAGAAACATATCCATTTTACATTAAGCAAAATTACATCTACATGAAAAATTTTAATTCCTTAAGGTAAAGTAAAAGTTTTAATTACTAATTGGACACAAATAGAATCAGGTTCATAAGTAAGGTGTCATTTGTTAAAATTAACTATTGAGTCACCGTGGTTCTTTAAGTTTTTTGCATCATTGTACACAAATTATTCTTTATGAGCACATACTATTGACCTCATGCAAATGTAGGGCACCTCTAATGAACACTCAAATTACTGTCCTTTTAGCCATTGTAGGTACTTTAAATGTCTCTACCTGACCTGGCCACTTGACTTTAGGATGTCATTAAATTTTTTGGCTAAATGAAGTAGGTACTTATTAACACTACACTTCAAAATCGGAGGTTAAGTAAAGTTTTACAGTCAATGGTAATAATTATGGACACTCACCAAGCAGGAGAAGTTTGAGTTCTCTCCTGGCATCTCGTTTGTCCTTTCGGAGTTGTCGCTCTATCTCCTGATTGATTCTTTTTTGTTCTTTGGCTTCCTCTGACATGCAGCACTCCATGATTGCTCAGAGCGGAGCGCCGCAATCCTTCCTCGCGTGTGGAGCCCTGTCCTTTCGGCAGGCCTTTCAACCGAGGCACACCACTCCTAGAAATTACATTATTATTACACTCACTGTATCACATTAACACGAGCCACTAAGATCACAAATCACATACCAATGCGACGACACGCGAACAATCATTCGAACTAAAAATGATCAAATACTAAAACCGACAATCCGGTCACTGGGTGTGGTGACTTATGATCGGTCATATACATAAACGCTTCTGTCAACTGCCGACATAAACACATCGAAATCCGTTTATATACGAGCGTGGAACCTTGTAAAGCGATCGCATAATCTTGTTAATGTAACTAGATTCAAGAAACCTACGGTTATTCACCACACGTGTGTATTAATAAGATTAAAACTGTGAGCAAACAGCGGATTGATGATACCTAGGTAATCTACTGATAACTAGAACGGCCTATGTCTAGGTTACGAACTGATTTGCCAGGTCTCACAGCGTGAGTACGGACGCTTTGTTAATACACTTTTGCACTTATTACGTACCTAAATGTATATCCATAGGGCACGATCAAATAATCCACTTCAAATTATTGCACTAACCACGATTAATCACTCAAGTCATACAACGTCTGCCTCTCAATATGGCGCTCGCTGATTTTGGGCGATGGGTGTACTGCGCGTGCGTTGTTCGTGTATGAGCAAATAAAAAATAATAGACTAAAATTTAGTAGAAGGTTACAAAAATTTATAAAGAAATTAAATTTTATCAAGCCTCATCAAGATATATGAATTGAGAATGAAAATCAAATCTAATTTTCATATTCATCAAATAAGTTGACAGTCTGTCACCCGTTTGTCATTTAGTTAGTTTTTTATTCTTGGGTAACGTAAATTTCACAAGGAAATTAAAATTACTGATTATAATTAATATGCATACTTAGAGTAATCATAAATATGTATTATATTTATGATTGCTAAGTATTTTTTTAAATTCATAATTTGCTTAACTTAGTGAGTTTAATTAGTAAGATTCCAATAAGTTTGGTATATTTATGAAGATAGGTACTCTGTCTATGGTTAGTTCTCGCCACAGATAACACCAAAACGATTCAAGGACAGTATTCATATAGGTGGAATCGATTTCGTATTAGAATCGATTTAAAAGCACTCAATTGGATTACTCAGTTTTTTTAATAGATCGTTATATAATTTAATAGGTTGTTATATTATCACCATATCTTTAAAATACATTTTACGAAGTACTTAGCACCATTTAGCGGTTTGTTTGTTCTTACTTTCATTACACTTGGAACACAGGAATAACTTTTTATTTATAATTTAAGGATGGCATTTGTTCATTATCACCACAATATAGCTATAATTAATAAATTTGAAGGACTAGAATGTTCCTTATTACTTAACAAACATAACGATTTCAAGTAATGATGCACGGGGAAGCCAAAAGAAATTAACGTAATACCCAGTTACCGCCCAATGTCGAGTGTTTGTCCTAGACATAGAGATTAACCTTGAAAGAGACCGTTTGGTTAATAGTACAAGGTGTCGTTACATATAAAATATACCAGTAGGACTCTTAGTTTGAGATTTATATTTTGTACTTGTATGAAGAATGTCATACGTTTTTAAATACATTCACAATCAACACCCTTAGTGAAAACTGTGAATAATAAGCATGTATTCACTAAGTACTAAGTATTTACAGTTACGTCTTGGTAAGTAACTTTAAATTAATGTTATTTTAATTTTAACCTCTTATCTATGAAGCATTCTCTTAAAAAAACTATCACTAACTCCTTACCTACATGAAAAATCAGCTACAGTTATGCTCTTTCAACTACACAGGATTTATATTAATCCATTTAGCGCCATGCGCCACCGCATCGTACCTTCGCATTTTTTGCAGGTGTACATCTGCGTTTTTCAGGTTTAATAATCACATATTTTATAAAATTATTGAGGTTTATTTAAAGCTTGACTTATTGAACTAAAAAAATTGAGTTTTAAAAGTTTTAACTATTTTACGTATGCAATCTCAAATATGAAACAACCTTCGTACTATCTTTCCAGAGAAACTTTAGTGTAGGATTCTTAAAAAAAGGCATGAAAAGTTTTTTTATGTTAAACCCCAGCTGAACTGCAAAAAAGGTTATTTTGCTGGGGAACTACAGTAGCGAATTTTAGTCACATAAAGTTATAACTTTTTACCTCTTGAGTGATGTAAAATGTGAGTACATGTGTAAAATCACTACGGTCATGGTACCTTTAATTGTTACAATTTCAATATGCTTATACTTCAAGGCAAATGTGCAAAAAATAACTTGTTTTAAGATACTGAATCGGTTCAGGTCCTAAGTGTAACGTTGTTTCTAGTCTTATAGGTATTGCAATCTCTTTATTGATCTTCAGCCAATACTTCAGCCTTACTGATGAGATTTGATTTTTTTAATATGGGCTTAAAAAGTTGTGTTATTTATGATGTAAACATCATCATTTCATATTATTTATTATTTGCTTTAGATTGTAGATCCTTTTGGCTGGACCCCGGCGCTTAATGTTTCATTCATTTTTGTTTCTACTAATAAAAAATGTACCTAGGTGCGTACTAGCGTTTACTGCTGTGCAGTTCCTGTTAAAGTACGGAGTATAGAGGCAAGGAGAACCATCTCTGTGTATGAAAGTTTCCGTAAAAACGCGTCCAATGAGGGTGGCGCTTCAGTAGCCTAGAGTTAATTTATATTGACTTAAATAATCATTGGACACCATGTATTAGACTGGGAAAATAGGCAATGACTTTACGGACAATGACAATGACTTCAGACAATAAAAGTATTATAATATTGTTACTCAGCACACTTCACTCCGTCTACAACAGTTATGTTCATATCGTAGTTTTTCGTACGTCAGCGACCTCTATTTTCAGTACACAAATGGACTCTTTTTAACTTTTCCCCCTTAAGAGAGAAAACCGGTTAAGAGGCCGAAATTTTTGTGTTTTTCGTGAATTTTTTAAATAGGGAAGGAATTATTAAACTTGGAGGGTATTTTATTCATGTTTTGAAATACACTTTAGAATTTTTTCAAGTTTTTATGCCTTAAATAGTAGAACGTGGTGTCCGTGGACCATTGCCATCCCAGTATTTTGCTGGACTTCCTGGAATTCCCGTAGTCGCAATTTTTATCTGTAATCATCACAATTTTTTTTCGTTAACTACATACTTTCTAAGAATATGTACCTAATTGTGACCAAAAAAATTTTTAATTGCATGTTCGAAAACAATGACATATTTTTACACCATATTTTTTTAACTTTTTTGCATATTTTTTTTTTAATAATAATATAATCCCAGAATTAGGTTCATATGGATTGGAATCGAATAAAGAATATTCACAACAAATTTAAGAACGATTGGTCAATAACTTTTTAGGCTAGAACGCCAACCAGTTGGAAAAAAATCGTTTTGAGAAAAAGCGTTTGAAATAAAATGTAGCTTCGACGCCGAACCGACGGGCGGTCACTTAAGTGCTCATAGCAACAGAACTAATGCTAATTTTGCTTTCAAATTTTGACCACATAGTCTTGAGTAGTTATACTAACAATTTATACTAAAAAAAAGACGATTTTTTATCGGTCTAAACTGGTTTCCCCCCTTAAGAAATGGTTCTCCTTGCCTCTACTCTCCGCAAGTTAAAGTAATAAATAAAATAATGATAAAGGTGGAAAAAACATTTATTTCTGTTTTCATTCATGTGAATTAAATATCATGTGTCAATACTTATCACATTTTATTCCATCTCAAATTCAGCACTTATTAACAAATTGATTTATATAGATATTTTTTACTTATAAATATTTGTTGAGAGAGTTATCTTAACCTATGAATCATTAATACTGAACTCGATTCAGTGATAATAATTTAGTTATATATTTAATTACTAAAAGCTATATAAGGCATATCACGTTTCTATTCACATAATAGAAATAAAATCCCTCCACATAGAAGGACATATTCGGTAATTTACGAAATGTTCTTTTGAAGTTAAAATTTTCTTGTAGGATAAAACATATTTTTTACCAAAACTATATAACTATGCAGTCTTTACATTATTTAAAAGTTCCTTATTCGGTGGTACCCATCCTCCGAATGCTTTCTCGAATTCTTTGGCAACGGCAATTGTTAAGTGGTCATTGCATTTATTGGCAGCAATTTGTAAGCCTACAGGTAGGCCATCTCTTGAAAATCCGATGGGGCATTGTGTTACGGGAAGTCCTAAAGCGCTAAATATCGTTAAATATCCGCAGTTGAGGAATTTATAGTAGATCCTATAGTGAAGGTGAGCTGGCGTCGGAAATGTTGGATGAAGTAATACTGCGTCACCTGATAACAATTTCTGCAACAAAAAGTATTAGTTGATAATTCAAAGTTCAGTGTAAAAACTACTAAACTTTATTCTTTAAAGTTTTAATAACATATTACCGTTACTACCACATATCGTCATCATTCTACCCGATCTACAATCGTTTCTTTTTATCAGTGTAATGTGTAAAACTAAAAAAAGTTAAATTGAAAAACATAAAACTATAGGGTGACAGAGCTAGGGAACTAGGGTAAGGGACAAGTACCTTAGTTCTCGAGTGGGTAGCGGGACTAAGACGGGCGAAGAAGCCGGGGGCGTGTACCCGAATGTCCGTCTTATGATTGCAGAAGCTACTAGTACAGGGACATATACCTACTGACATCAGAACTAAATAGTTACCTCAAATTCAGCTTTGATTTCATCATAAATAGACAGAAGCTTCTTGTAATAACTCTTCGGTAGTGCATCGAAGAACTTTGTTAGCGGCCCGTAACATACGCAAAGAAAGTTGTGATTGGACATGCCCACAAGTGACTTCAGTACTTCGGGCCATACTGATACCCATTCTTCTCGTTTCTCTGGATTCGTGTAGATGTTTCTAATATGTTTGATGCTCAATAGAATTCTAATACTGATTTCCCACATATGTTCTATGTGTTTAATTTTTAGCTGGAATATAAAAATATTTGAGATGTGAATTAAACAAAGAAAAGTAACTCAACAAAAATGTTTGTCAGTTAAAGCAAGTGTTAAATTGTTTCACCAATTTTTGACTTAAAATTGTTACCGAATGTAACCGTAGTAAACCGCACCTAGTGACCTTCTGTAAACTTTTACGAGAAATTATGAAATATTATATTATTTTGATCTGAGAACTCAAATAGGTTAACAAGAAGTTTTTTTAAAGCGTTCGTGTATTCAGGTCATTAATACAATTAGGACTAGATGAATAACAATACTTCTCAAATTGTAATTAAATATATGGTTTTCTTGTTAAACAATATTGTTCTAGACTTACTGGTTTAACTTCAATATTATGTGTCTTCTTTAGGTAATCTTTGGCCTTTTCCATTGCACTCCTGACATCAGGACCAATGGCATTTGATACATTGCTACCGTCCCCTTCCATATAGTAAAATTTCAGTTTTCTTACATCAACCTGAAATCACAAAAATAGCCTCCACCATATATTTTCCGGGACTGCATTTTTTTTGGGTAACACTAGTTAATTTTTAATTGCATTTTTTTATGTTATAAGGTGGCAAACGAACAGACATGACCTGATGGTAAGTTACAACCAGCGTTCATGGACACCTTTCAATTCAAAATTCAGTGTAGTCGGCCTTTTTGTGTCGAAGCATGGCTCTGCGACGGTAGTAAATTTAAAAATATTTATTATTATTATATATTATATTATGCACAGAAAACACTCTATGGAATAATATTGCTGGCAAGCTGTCCTTAGTATTATTCATACAGTTCATGACCTAATCCAAAATTCCTGGAAATACTATTTTTTCTTTTTGGAAATTTCAGGATGAGTTAGGTGATTTACATTCTAAGGTTGTGATGTTATATTTGACTGAACAGATAATTTGCACAAAAAGAGCGTACTGGCTTGTCCAGTGGTAAGTCAGGCGAGCCAGGCTGCTTCAAAACCTTCAACATTAATGTGAGATCTTCTGCGTAGCGTGTAATTGGTCCAAGTGTAAAGTATTCTTCAAAATCAGGATCTAAACTATCTGGAACATGACCTGTAGAAAAAGATATTTTTTATATAACATGTACAGTGATTAAAAAGGGACACCAGACCGACTATAACTAAACATTTCAAGCACTGTGGTGTTTAAATGAAATAAACATCCAGTAAAAACAATTCTAACTGAAATCATATGAAGCCTGAATATTAAAGTTTAGGAGCATGACAAAATAACTCCTGATTGCTGTACCTGTCGTGGTCAGATCATAGAATAGATCAGTAAATGACATGATCGATCTCATTTATGTAATTGTTATATTTCATGACTAGCCTTTGCCTACGGCTTCACTCGTTTAATTGTCAATTTTGTCAATAATATTGACCGGGATAAAGAGCCTTTGTGCTATTCTAAAATATAATCTATGTATGTGCCAAATCTTGTCCAGATCCGGCAAGCCGTTTTGGCGCGATTGAGTAACGATCATACTTACGTTTTGAAAAGTAAAAAAATGTCATAAAAAAAATTATTGTTCTGAGTTTGGAATCGGTATGTAGAAAAATATAGCTCCCCATACTTTCATCCTTTCTTAAGGATAGTTTCGAAAAATTAGTTATTAGAAATATAATCAGTAACAACGTTTTTGTTACTTTTTAACCGACTTCAAAAAAGGAGGAGGTTTACAATTCGTCTTAATCTTTGACTTTTTATGTATGTTCACCAATTACTCGAAGTCGGCCGAACCGATTTGGACAATTCTTTTTTTGTTTGAAATTTATTGAAATCGGTCCAGCGGCTTTTGAAAAATCAACAAAAATTTAAAAATTGTATTTACTTCTGGTTACTTACGAAACTTTGCTGTCTTATTGGAGTAGTGCGTTTAGTTGGTCTTTATTAGTATTAAGCTATATCGCCCATATATACTTACGCCTATATCCCCCAAGACGTAACCAGAGGCGTAAAATCAATTTTGGTAATATTATTATGTTAATTAACTTTTGACCTTATCATTAATATAGTATATACATGATTTAAAAGGTATATAAAATATCCTAAATAAACAAATTGGCTGTTTATATCCCCAGACTTAGCTTATATATTGATCTAGCTAGCCAAACCAGTATCATGATATGATCGACCATTTTATGTAATAAAATCATTTCATTTCGAATCAAAGTGATTAATGCTATGGTTTGGTTATGAAATACCTGTTGAAAATTAAGAAATTATGGAAATAAACAAAATGGAACCTAAGATCTATACTTCATGATTCATATGATATGATGTCATGATTATATTAAAAAAAATGTTTTTAATAAATTGTATATTTTAGGTTTTAATTTACCTTCGACTGAAAGGAGTCTAGGTGTAGGTTTATGTCCGAAGATCCCAGTAAACATAGGAGGCAACCGGAGTGATCCGGCAATGTCGGAGCCAATACCGACGACGGATGCAGCTGCTGATATCAACGCCGACTGTAAAAAATATTTTATCAGGTTATTGTAAACTTGACCGTGTGTCTTTGCTAAAGGTTGTCCGTGTGGTGACGGATTAAGAATACGGAGTGTTTCCACCCCTATTCATCTCGTGGGTATCGTAAGAGCAGACTAAGGGGGGCAAACTGTGCAGGACAACAGCACTGCACAGAGAAGGAAAACTTGATACAAACCGTGTATAGTATAACAACCCGTCTGGACAGCGTGGTATAGTAGGCCGAAACCTCCTTTCTAAGGAGATGCCTATATCCAGCAGTGGTCCATTATATCTAAATTTATGGAGATTTTTAGAATTCTTAGATTCAATGTAGACCAATTTCAATCATACAAAATTGCAAATAACATTTGCATTAAACAGCATAACACCATAATATCACCATATATCCCATAGATATAATCATCATAACAGAGTAAAAGACGATCGAAAAAAGATGAAAGTTGTGAAAGAGATTATGACTAGAAAGGGAGAAATCAGTGAAATCACAAATAATAAAGAAGAATGGTAAAATATAACCTTACCGACTTCGAATCAATTAGCAAGGCGTAAGAAGACATCGAATTTAAAGTTTTTGTGACTAATCCATCCCCAATACTGTACAGAGTTATGACACTCGGGAAGTCCCATGGAAAGTTAAACTGCCTTAAAAACCGCTATAAAATAAGTCAGAAGTAACTTAGAGAAGTTGGAAATAAAACAACGCGGTTACAATACAAAGCCTAGTTACTACGCCTACGCCTAGCCTACTTACTTCTCCGCCTGATGAGCCACCAGTAGTCCTCTTCTGGTCGTACGGATTCATTGTAATACCCACTACGTTATTATACGTCTCCCAATTCATACACAGTTGTGGTGTGCTTGTCACTGCTATGGGAATGGCACCAGCTGCTCTAGCTTCTCTTATAACTGCAGCGTCTTTGGATGCTGGTTTCCTATAAGGGTAAACTGTGCCGCAGTCATTGCTCATACCTGGAATGTGATTTGAATAGATGAAATGATATATTTTGCAGGTTAGAGAATGGATTTTAGTATTCTTTTTTTATCGGATAAGGGGGCAAACGAGCAGACGGGTCACCTGATGGTAAGCAACTACCGCTGCTCATGGACAACTGTAACTTAAAAGTCACAAGTGCGTAGCTGCCCTTGGAGTCCCCCCCGCTCGATTCAGCGGGACTGGGGATTTGGGCTCCGGTAACCTCACTCACTCAATGAAAGGCAACGAAAGACTTCTTAACACCGGTTTTTTGTGAGGCCAAGGTTCTCCCAAGGTTTCTAATAACAAGTTGATGACTAATAACAACAGTAATGATAAAAGTACTTATTAAGTTAGTAATTCAGCGGAGTATAAGGAGAACAAAATATATTTCTAAAAGGATCAGAGGAAAAGAAAAACAAAGGGTAGAAAAAACACATTAATTAATATTTTGTTACTGAATAATATAAATTGTAGCCTTCAAATTTCGGTTTTAAAGTTAAGCTTACAGCAACCACACATAATATCGTCTGTTCGTATTATTATACATATATTTGACTAAGAACATATAGCCCCATTTGTAGTTTAGGTGCATAGAGGCAGACATATCTATTGGGATTACGAGTAGAAATACCGAATGTCATAGTTGAATGATGACTGCAGCTTCCATTTAACAGGTTACGATTACGACAAGTATAAAGCATGCATAGAATAAGAGATTCTTTGAGCCCTCGATTGTTTGATTGAAAGATTCTAGACTCAGACTCGGCAAAATATATGTTTTATTAAAACAATGACCAAAATTATTGTAATTTCTGAGTGGAAATAATAATTAAAAGATCTTATAAAATGAAACGTTTTTAAAAATCGTTCGTACCTTCTACAGCAATACTCTCTTTTACAGTTATGGGTATTCCCAACAATGGGAACTCTTTAACCAACTCTTCGGGCGTTTTGCTTGTGGATGCAATCATTTTGTCTATTCCTCGGGCTTCCCTCAGAGCGGCATCATAGCGTGGCTCGACTATGGCATTCAAATACGGGTTAGCTTCCTTACATCTCTCAATATAAGCTTCTACTACTTGTTCTGATGTGATCTGTAAAATAAAGCATAAAACGAGAATAGCTTCAAAACAATCTTCTTAAGAGAACAGCGACGCTTTTCCAAAGAGAATTCTCTTAGGAAAAGCGTGGCTGGCAAACCAGACCATAAGGTGTCTCCTATATAAAGTTTGCGTATATGGACGAAATGAATATAATTTATAGCCTATAGAGCTCAGGGATAATGCAGTTACATCGTTGTCATGTTGGTTCGCGTCACCTGTCTAAGAACACTTGGGTTAATAAGACGAATCTAACGATATATTAATGAAATATATGCATACATACAAGATGTGCGCGACAAAAATTAACCATCTTTGGCAGTCGGGTCACACCTCTGTCTTAGCAGTCAAGGTCACTAACCACTAGACCAACAGGCCAGTACTTGACTACAGTATAAGTAGCATTGACTGTACAGTAAAATTAAAAAGTCTTTTGGTCTCTTTCGAAAAGTCGAAATCTAATATATAGTCTCTAGAACTGTAAAAATATATATTATAATGTTTTATTTACTACGTGACTACTGTTTTAAAACTCGTAGTTTCTGCGTGTGCGTTTCGATTGATCCGCCACGTTATCGAAACCAAAATGAAACGTGGCTGAGCAATCCAAACGAACATAGTTTTTTCTCAGAATTTTTGAAGATATTTCTGGCAGTAGAACTTAGTAGTAATAGATATATGTATAGACTTATAACTTACTAGCTGTACCCGGCCACGCTTCGCTGTGGCATGTTCTGATTGAATAAAATAGATAAAAACTATCCTTGAACAGTGTGTATATCGCGTCAACATTTGAATTCAAAGGGTGCAGATTTTTTTGAGTTTTTGCAGCGTACACAAACCAACATAACATTTCTATATACCTGATATAGATTTTACATCCAAATGTTACAAAATTAATAATTTTGCCAAAACTTTTTATTTATCAGTTAACTTTTCTTACCTGTCTATTTCTAATCATTGCTGTCAATTCTGTGGCTGATTTGAATAGTATAGGATTTGCTGGTGGTGGACATTTTTTGTTCCTTCTGATATTTACAAGGTATGTGATGGGTAGTACGATGATCGCGAGCAGAGACACCAAAAACCTGAGAAACCTTCTCATGAACGCGTTCATCGTGATTGTCTGAAATAAAAACGGTTTTTATTGTTTGATATTACACTATAGAAATTGATGGTATTCGATGTAACATTTCATAGACACTCATATATGTTCATACTAGCTTTTGCCAGTAACTTCGTCATCGAATTGGACATCGTAGAAGATACGCTTCTACCCAAAAATAACGAAGTTTCGCACCCTTAACAGTGGAATTTTTAAAAATCCTTTCTTAATGCACACCAACGTCACTCAAGGAACATTCGTGCAAAATTTCATGTTTCTAGACACAGTGGTTGCAGCTTTGCGTTGATAGATACTGATCTGCGATCAACGCAAATTGACAAATTGATTCACTGACTGCAGTGAATCAGTCAGACTTCCATATATTTTAATTAAAACACGGTAAAGGACAGTATCGTAAAAATCTAATTAAATGAAATTTAAGTAGATTTCTGATTTAATTTTATTGATTTGATTTAAGATTAGGAGGATTTCACATCTGAAATATGATCTAGTTAAACTTAGAATACTAATAAATATTTATTTATAGTTAATCATTTTTTTTCATATAAATATTTTATTATAACAGTGTTATTAGGCATTTAATGTATTATGGCGATGATTCCTTTCAATCGGCATACGATTCTGCTAGTGTCTCGAGTGCTGACAGTTTCTGCTCTCTGACCTCTGCTCTCGGCGAATTTGTACGACAGACGTTGAACAAGCAACCTTTGTGCCATGTGAACGTCTGTCACAATAACGCTCAAAGTATTCCCAGCCACGACTACGATTTAGTCGAGGCTTTCTCCAACTCCGAACTGCACGCTATCCTGGTCTCCAAGACTTGGTTTAAAGCTCATCTGCTATCTACCGCGTACTCCCTCCCTGGTTACATTCTTATATGTAATGATAGAACTGATAAGAGAGGAGGGGGTGTTGCCATTTACCTTCGCAGCTCTTTCTCATACAAAATCTTATACTATTCGACCTCAATGCACCGCTTCTGCTGAATACCTCTTCGTTGAGGTTTGCTTCAAGGGTCAAAAGCACACAGCCGTGTGGGACACCAGCATTTACGAACTCCGGTTGACGTAGAAGTATACACCGTATTTAGTGATCTATCCCACTCAGCAGCAACATATCCAGTGCCCTTGTCTTTTAGCGAGGGCAAACAAGACAAGGGCGAGGAATGAGCCGCCGTAGAGCCGACGAGTGCCACGGAGCCGTCCCGGTCACCAAACCAGTTTGATGGGGAGGAACGTAATAGTGCTCCGCGGTTACGGCCACACAGATCGACCACTGTGCTATGGTTGATGGACAGCTGTCGTTAGTTGCCTCCGGTGATATTGTGACCACCACAGCCGTGGTTATAGGCGCTTGTAGTTTATGCGGTTTCCTCTTAGTGGCCACCGCCACCAATGTCGACTGGGGGGTAGAGATTGCTTTTTGAGCAGCCTTTTACCCATCGGTTGAGGTCAAGGTTCAACGGTCGGGGGGACAAGTGCAGGTGTTTGAGTGGGGAGCGGGGGAAATTCCGCTCCAGTCTTTGCCGAAGTTCTAGGCTCCGCCCTCGATTCAGCCATCTTGGCAGCTGCCTTGGCCCGCTCCTACAAATGACGTTCCACTATCGGAATAAATATTTAAAGGTTTCCTTCTACGGGACATAAATCGTCGCAAAGCCTGTGTATAATTACTGATCGTCCAATCACCGACTAACTCTAAATGTATGGCTTTAGTGGTAAAGCATATAAAAAACACGATATAGACCTTCACTAATCTAGATCAACCCAAGTAGTGACAACCTCAATGGGTAACTGTTCATACCATGTCAATTTTTTAAGCCACACCTTCTGAAGCAACATCTTCATACGAATAACCTCATAATGCGATAATAATCCTCAAGGATCAAAAAAATTAATAGCCTGTACATCTTCTCGACGTCTGTAGATATTACATACATATTTGTTTTACAATGTACATTCTACATTGTACATTCTAAATCTGAGAAGAATAGTAATAATATTTAACGAAACGCGAGAAGAAGTAGGAGCACTAGCATCAAAAACTACGCGTAATTTGGTAGTAGTGCTACTCTCTCTAAGTACCCCATGGTGAGCTATAAATATGACGGGTTCTCTTTAATGTCATAAAATCTTTGACTGGCCTGTTGGTCTAGTGGTTAGTGACCCTGATTGCTACGCCAGAGGTCGTGGGTTCGATTCCCACCCAGGACAAATTATTGTGTGATGACCACGGTCATTTGTTCTGTGGCTGGGTGCGCTTTATCTATAATATGTATGTATTTAGAAATATATAAGTATGTTCATCAGCAGTCTGGTTACCACAGTACAGGCTCTGCGTAGTTTGGGATCAGACCACCATGTGTGAGATGTGTGAAAATATTATTATTATTTTTTTACTTATTATTATTATTTTGACGAGTGAGGCGTTGTTCTTGTTTCTACGCTTGAGTGATAGAAAACAACGCTTTACACGAACAATTGAATCGCCTAATAAATCTGCAGATTTCTTTAGTGGTATCTTAAGCTGAAACGACCATCAGGCATACGCGAGGTATGTTTGTGAAGTGTTCCTCGCACTGTTTTTCTTCAGTGGATTAAGTAGAAGATTAATGACAACTCTCTTCTAATTGCTCAGACCGCGTTCATTGGGTTTGAATATCATCTAATTAAGAAGAACTATGAGAATCTAAATGGTTGTAATTGCATTTAACATTTCAGAAAGGTTTTACCATAACGCCGCTGTTAATTGGGCCGCAAACTAGCCAACCAAGCCTACTTTGATATAAAACTGGTTTCCTATCCCTTAATATTATTTTTTCGGACCCTAATAAGTTCTAAAATACATCAGCTCCAATTATAATTTCAATGGCCTTCGGTGTATAAAAATACGGATCAGCTAAATTAATCTCAGCAGGTATATTTAATTCTACTCATCTGGAGGGTACATTATCCGTTATTAAGGGTAAAACAAAACATGTCAAATTATCTCTATACTATTTGCAAAGGGATTTAATATTAACGCGAGTCATTTTTTTTAATGAGACAAAGAATTGTTTATACCTTATACAGACATGTTTGTTGATACGAATGGTATACATAATTTCTTAAGCAAACTTTCATTCATTAAACAAAAGGAACTGCCTGAGTCGAGCAGCGCGCGGGCCATATGCTCCTTGTCGTAACATCTTTTCAATGCGGTCGACAACAAGATATCGCTTGAAACAGACGACTGTGCACTCACGTTAGCTGACAGCGTAACATGACTATGACTATTGAGAGCTGTGGAGGGGCTGGCAGAGTAGACGCGCGGGGGCGAGGACTCGCTGCTCATCTTATTACCTGTGCGGCGTTCGCGTGAGAGAAGCCGGAACGTCACCACTTGCAGGCGTATTATCTGTTGCATTGTATGACACTGTTTTTGGTTTATTATGGATTAAATGAGATTTATTCTTATCTAAACGTCCTTTGTACTGTTCCCACTCTTGGAATGTGTTCTAGTCTAATTTTTGACTAATTAAATAACAAATTAATAGTGTGTCCCAGCTCTTGACAGGCTCGCCTAAAAAACTTAAAGCTCGAATATGTTTATTAATTAGGCGTTTTAATGAGACTGAGGGCTCCGTAGGTTTCGGGGTTAAACAACGACACATGATTTTGTATTAGTAAAGGTTTATTGTCAAACCTTTCTCATAGAAGATCCCAGCCTAATATATAATTTTGGGCTGAAAACTCGATTGATTGTATTACTACTGCGGCTGAGCCCTCTAAGGGTGTATGTAAATAATGCAACTTATTTACTTTATCTATATCATTACTGTCGTGAATTAGAAAGGCGTTTATTAATTCTTTGGCTTTAGCTAATAAAGAATAATATTGCAGTTCAATAGCCGTGCGTTCTGCTATTTCATCGTCGATGTTGATTTGATTTGATGTCCTCACACACACACAAGGTGTAACTGTATATCATTAAATTCATCGTACAGAAGTTCTAACTTTTTTATGCGCAATTGTAACTCCGTTACCCGATAGGATGTTCATTTAGAATCCGTTAAAAGAGAAATAATTTGGTGTTTCCACTTAAAACCACCCCGACAGCTGATCTTAGGCGCTCTGCCCTGGGGAGGACCCGGATCATGTTATTTCAGGTGGGGACCTCAGGCGGCCCCCCCCCGATCGACCAGATGCCTGCAGAGACCAGAAGCCTTCTTTTCCCGGGATAGCCAGGCTCTATCCCGGGAAAAGAAGGCTTCCCACGCCTATCGGCCCAATCAATGTGTGTTGCGGCATGATCGCATTATGCGATCGGGCCCCCATCCTATCGGTATTTAACGGAATGTAATGTACTTAACTTGAAGTAATTTACAACTAGTTTAACTTGAAATCATTTAACACTAATTAAATTAACAATGTTACTATTTATGGTAATGAAATACAAAGACAAATATCTAAAATTTATAGGAAAAGACTATTAGATTTGTAAAACTATTTGCAAATGTACATAATGTAGGTAAGTAGCTAACGATGTAACTTTTATGTTAATGTACTGTGTTTAATTGAACACGAAATAACTAATTACCACAACTACAAACCTAATATTGTATAAATTCTTTTACATATACTTTCAAATATACCTACACTTGAAAGCTTTGTAACAATAGTGAAAAAAATTGTTAAGTTAGTACGATGAAGGTTAGTACTAACCTTGGGTCAGCCATGTATCCTGAGCGAGTGTTGGGTAAACTTTAATGAATTTAAGTTTTTTAATCAATCCGTTGGTTTTATTTAAACGCTAAAGTCCAAGCCACTTATTCTTAACTTCACCTTTTCACTTCTTAAAGTAGGGCAGGGTTAGCTGACAATAATTTTGGGACCTAATACATACGAAACAAACGATGTTACACAGTGCAGAATATGAAAATATGCAGATGGCTCTGAATTTTAATGTAGGCGTTCACGGTTGTAATGACGCCTCAACAACGGGCAAACGTAGAT